CCTTCTCAAAACTCTCTTTGGGTCTATCCTGCGGATTGCCTCCCCTGCGGACCGCGACACCGAGCCCACCGACTTGCAGCAACCAACACCAGATTCCACGCCTTCCCTCTCCCCGGGATCCAGTACTACCACCACAGAAGACCAACGCCTCGCGGCGCCATCATTACGAGACTCCTCCGTACCGCCATCACAACCAGCAGACCCCCTCACAAGTAATCGAGAAGACATGGAGTCGAGCGTGCTCCAGTCCTATGTCACGGCTCTCGACGCCGCTCACGCCGAAGAGCGCGCCACCATCGCAAAGTCCCTCCGCCTCGGCCAGGCGGCAATCCAGACGACGACCACAACGGACCAAGGCTCTCAGGTGCGCCAGAAGAAAACAAAACTGACGAGTTACATCCCTGATCCAGGCTACTTCCTTGCCGGTGCCGTCGCTGGCGGTGTCTCGCGCACCGCCACGGCGCCCCTTGACCGTCTCAAGGTCTACCTGCTCGTCAACACCAAGTCGAGCGCCGACACGGCCCTCGCGGCCCTCAAGCAGGGGCGGCCCCTCGTCGCCCTGGCCAATGCCGGCAAGCCCTTTGGCGATGCCTTTCGTGATCTTTGGCAGGCCGGTGGCATGCGCAGCTTGTTTGCGGGTACGTTGGTCCGCACCTCGTGCATGCGCCGCACGTATATGCTGACTGGCCGTAGGCAACGGACTCAACGTGATCAAAATTATGCCTGAAAGCGCAATCAAGGTCTGTCTTGCCCCCCCCCCCCCCCTGTCAATCCTGTTGTTCTTTGCCCGTCTGACATGCGCCTAGTTTGGGTCCTACGAAGCCGCCAAGAGGGCCCTCGCTAAGCTCGAGGGCCATGACGACCCCAAGAGGATCAACTCCTACTCCAAATTCACGGCGGGCGGCATTGCCGGCATGGTCGCACAGTAAGTCACCGAGAAGCTACAACGAACACGGAGTCTTCTGTCTAACAACATGCTAGATTCTGCGTCTACCCCCTTGATACCCTCAAGTTCAGGTATGACCAAACCCCCTCTCGATGCGCCTTGTCCCACATCCTCCTGACAGCCTTGCAGACTTCAGACATCCACTGTCCAGGGCGGCCTGACAGGCAACGCTCTCGTCATTGACACGGCCAAGAAGATGTGGCTCGCAGGCGGCTTCCGCTCCGCCTACCGCGGCGTCACCATGGGCCTGATCGGCATGTTCCCGTACAGCGCCATCGACATGGGCACGTTCGAGCTCCTCAAGACGTCGTACAAGAAGTACGCCGCCCAGTACCAGGGCATCCACGAAGAGGACGCCAAGCCGGGCAACATTGTCACGGGCATCATTGGCGCGACGAGCGGCGCGTTCGGCGCCACGGTCGTCTATCCGCTCAACGTCCTGCGCACGCGCCTGCAGACGCAGGGCACGGCCATGCACCCGGCGACGTATACGGGCATATGGGACGTGGCGCAGAAGACGCTGAAGAACGAAGGCATGCGGGGCATGTACAAGGGTCTGACGCCGAACCTCCTCAAGGTTGCGCCCGCCCTCAGCATCACCTGGGTCATGTACGAAAACTCCAAACGCATGCTGGGTCTGGAGTAAGAGAGGCAACAGCGGCAACAGCGGCAACAGGGTTTGGATGCCGCACTCGAATATACAACAAGCGAAATACACAGCCAAGCAGGACCTGCGAACACAGGTGGCGCGCAGATCAAGGGCATAGCATGGCGTCTGGGCCGCGAGCATTCTCCCCGTTTTTTTTTTCCTTCCAAAAAAAAAGGGAGAGAGAAAAAAAAGAGGGAGCGGCGGCACAACCGTGCGGAGGATTTCGGTAACCGTAATGTGTACAGAAGGCGGCAAAGCGGACAGGCAGACGATGGAGGTCGGGTTGTCTCCGAGGGGGGCATCCTTGAAAGATACCAAGAGAGCGTCAATCGGTTGAGATGCAAGTCATTCACACTGCCTGCGCATGCTTCTACTTTTTGCTGTGTGGAGGGCAGGCTGCAAGTAGGCAGTGCCGTGGTGCAGACGCCTTGTTGTGGTAATCCATCTCCCGTCTCTGTCCGCCCTCGTATGAGTATGCACTTCTTTGCTACGAATGTGAAGTTCGATTGTCAAAGCAGAGAGCCGGGTCCGAAGGTCTAGGCCGTCGTGGCGGGGGGCATCCGGGCCGCCGATCCCTGCACGACTTGACTCGTCCCCACTCCCACGTAATCCACTCACGACGTCGTGCTTCCACTCGCATGAACTCTCCCGCCTGGCATGATTGCCTGGCCGAACCACGACACATCCAACTCTCCAAAGCATCGATCGCTGCCGTCATTACCTTGTTTCCCCACCACCGGCATCGTGCTCCCAAGCCAAGTCGCTGTCACCATGTCGAAACCGAACCAGCTCTTCCTTCTCGCCGATCACATCAAGCTCTCCTTGCTGGAGCGCCAGCGCGCCAAGTCTCTCAACCTTGACGACGATTCCCAGGAGGGCCACATCTCGCGCTCCCTCGACCAGTTTCGTGATGGGCTAGAGGCGCTGCAGGAGGAGCAGAGGCGGCAGACAGAATCCGGTGATGCCAGGTGAGCTCCGTCCCACTTCCGTGCCCCCTCCACCACCACCACCACCACCACCTCCCTCTCCCCTTCTGCCCCGAAGGGAAACCTCCCGGGTGCCCGGAACTGACGAAACATCCCAGCGGCGCCCACTCCATCGCCGATGCCCTGCCCGCCCTGCAGAAGCAGTACTCCGACCTGACGTCCCAGTTCCACGGCTTCCCGACGCCAGAAACCACCTCGACGCTCACGCAGCCCAACGACCCCTCCCTCTCGCCCGACTTTGCCCACGCCCAGTCGGCGACGGCGGGGCCGCCGCGCAAGACAACGCTCCGCTCGCCCTCGAGCTCGTCGACGATCCCCAAGACGGTCCGCTTCACCGACTCGGCGCCATCCCCCTCGGCCGCCGACCCGGCGCTGACGGCCGAGCTCTTCGGCCCCTACCGCGACGAGCCGTCCGAGACGGAGCACCGCGACGCCACCGCCGGCGCCGGCCTCGACAACCAGCAGATCCACGCCTACCACGCGCGCGTGCTGCGCGAGCAGGACGACCACCTCGACCGCCTCGGCGAGAGCATCGGCCGCCAGCGCGAGCTCAGCATGCAGATCGGCGACGAGCTCGACTCGCACGTCGCCATGCTCGACGACGTCGACGCCGCCACCGACCGCCACCAGGGCCGCCTCGACCGCGCCCGCCGCAACCTCAACAAGGTCGCGCGCTCGGCCGGCGAGAGCAAGCAGATGATGACCATTATCGCCCTCATCATCATCCTCGTCCTGCTCATTGCCGTGCTGAAATGAACGGGGGAGGACGTGCTGGATACTATGACAAGAGAGACGCAGTCTTCCTTCGTCTTGGATGAATCGATTGTCGGAGAGCCGAAACGTAATGCGCGGGAACGGGGAAACGTGGGAGGACGGCGCTGGACGCAGATGGTATGCGTTGCGCGCCTGAGAGCGAGAGACGAGAGCAGGCTTTCGCATGGGCCCCTTTTTTCAAACTCGAACTGTTTTTTTGTTTCGTTTTTTTTTTCGTTTTTGGAATAACACCAGCACCCTTCTTTCCATGTCTTGCGGCAGGCCTTGTTCTGGAATCCTCCTGGTTTTCTGGCCCCATACGCAGCACACACGTACCCCCCCCCCTCCCCTATCTTTACCCTCCCCAAATCCCCTACACACAGCATGGCTAGGAGTCCGGCGCACATCGCTGGGATTTTCTGATTTTGATTTTTTTCGGGGTCTTTGATATCACACTGCCAGTCGGCCGTTTTCAGCATCTCAAGTATACAGGGTAGCAACATGGCAGGCTGTTCTTCGCCAGAGCGCGAGGATCGGCCAACATTGTACATCATGCTGTTCCCGCCGTGAACATGTTGCTTCTTTCGCAGCAGCGTCGAAATGCAAAAGAGTTCGGAAGGGGCCCCAGCGTCTGTTGCCCCAACCTACATCTCTTGTCGTCAGTCGCGGTGAGTCTGCGTCTCGGCTGCGGTGAGTCTGCATCGGTCGCGGTGAGTCTGCGTCGGTCGCGGTGAGTCTGCGTCGGTTGCGGTGAATCAGCGTCGCAGTGAATCATCGTTGTCGGTCATTTAATTGTTTTGGAATAGGCGCTGGCAGGAATTGAACGTCGTGCCTACGAGGTGAATCTATATAAATACCACAACAAACTCCACCCCACCAACGAGGTTTGATCTGGGCTCCTAGCCAGGCAGCCCGCCTTCCTCGTTGGCGGCCAGTTTTCAGAAATTTATACTTAAGTACCCTCTGCACTCTTGCCTCCTGTTTGCCCGTGTATATGTGCTAGTGAACGCTTGCCGTCATGCTTTTCAGAAAGGACAAAACGTAGAGGAAGCGCGGTTGAGCAGGTACGAATACACCATATCATTCTTACTCCTAACAAGCTTGCTCCTCCATCCAAGGCTCAGTACGCGTGCGCTGTAAAGAATATCTGATCAAAGAGACGCGACTTCATGACCCCTTAGCGAATGATATCTCCCTCCTTGTACATGCCCTCAAGTCCCTCGAGGATATCGCTTCCTCCTAGCATTCCCTTGCCTCCCACCATGACCCTCCTCTCCGCTTGCCAGACTTCGTGAAACTTGATCGTATTGTCGCTTGATGCCACTACAATACCGCCTTCCTCTGCTGGGCGCTCTCTTGCTCGGCCACGACACAGTCCCTTGGGACCGCCTGGGTACGCAATGGCGCTGAGTGCTCTGTGGCCCTTTTCCCACTTAACCACGCCGACCATCTCGCACGAGGGCCAACTGAACACGGCAATACGAAACAGGTGTTCGGGCTGTGAATAGCCAAAAGTGGCAGCAATCTCACGCCGGTTCGTGGACCATATAAGTGATGTCACCTGCGCCGCACATGCAATGGTTGCAAGAGCTGTGCCGGTCTTGGTGTGGAAGAAGTGTATGCATCGGTCATTGGAGCCGCCCCCTGTCGCAACGAGGCCGTCCTGCTATGGACAAAAGGCAATCGCCTTGACGGCGGCGCTGTGGATCCAGCGATGCGTCTCTGAACCGGGTCCGAACTGCGGCACCTTATCAGGCGAGGTTCGGACGGTCCGGATGCTGGTACCGTCCACTAGCAGTTGAAATGCCTCTTCATCCCTTCCTTCATTTTGTATTAGCATGTCATACAACTCACTGCCGATGCTTTCCGATGACTGCGTCCGCTTCCGTACCGTCGGCGAGACTAAACCCTGGTGTCGTTGTGGTCGTAGGATCTTGTTGACCTCGAACAAGCAGCAATAGTTGTCATTGGCACCAGTCGCAAAGACTTGACCGTTGGGGGACCAGACTAATGCGCAAATCTGCAAAGCATGGGCAGAAATCTTAGCTACCAGCGTAATGGAACCAGGCCAGTCGTCGCGGGCCACTTCCCACGCTTCAGGCCACTCCACAACGTAGTAGTAGATATGTCCCAAGACGTCGCCTACAATCAAGTCCTCGGTGGAGACCTTCCGTGGCGGGTTCGTGGGATGCTTCGACAGCCGCATTGTACACGTCGGCCGCTAGCTGACACAGCAGATCGGGAACGGGTGCGTCATCTCGAAGCGCGGACGGTGACTATTAAGAGACGTCAGGGCAAAGTAGCCACTCGATCGACTGTAGGCAAGTATTCCTTTCCCTCCCTCTTCCGAGGAGAAAGAAACCGAAGTCAGCCAGGGCGAGTCAGGCCCACGCACCACGGGCATGACTCCGTGACGACTAGACCATGAGTACAGCGTGCCTCCCAGCCCTACCGCAAGGACGTTCCAAGTCCCCGAGTAGGCCAGCGTTGAGCAGTAGTAGTCATCGCGGAGCTCGGGGGCGTCAAGCACACGGAACGGTGCTGAAGGCAACCTGCGCTCGACTCGAGTAGCCCGTGCTCCTGCTCCGAGTATGGTCAGTCTGGTAGTCCGAGAAAATTGGGAAGCTGACCTACTCCCGGAGTGATGTGGTTCGATCCATTCCGTACCGTTCCACGTCGTTTTTCTTTTGTGCCCTATTGTCTGCCTAGTGTGTGGGGGCTTGAGCAGCTTGTCACTGAAAGCGAAAATCTTTGACGCCTGATCAATGTTCAGGGCATATGCAAGGCGAGCTTCATGTTGTTCAACGTCTCTCGGATATGTCGAATTCTTCAGACCCGGAAATGCATGATAGTGAAATCGAGCGCTGGTACCAGTTCGAATGAGGTGGCCACGGCCACTGTCGATGGCCGTGCCACTGGGAGCCACGCCACCGATAGCCTAGATTGTACCGTGGCTAAGCTGTCTCGTACTGAAGATGCGTCGGTTCTCCGGCATAGGGACGATTGTTGTTCCTACTTGGGTGGCTATTAGCGAGCCGCTTCGATTGTGGGGCAGGCCCTGAAATCTCCTACTTGGCGCCTCTTCCATGCGGGAGACGTTGCGGAAGTCTGAGGCCAAAGGGGGGGCAGTGGCGGTCGCTCGGTGCAGAAAGACGTCAGGAGAGGCATGATGGTTTCGCAAGAGCCTCTCGGAGGCTGTCAAGTCATCGACGGGCTTGGAGGTACGGTACGTGATAGAGATGGGTGCGGACGCTGTCCATCGTGGTATGAAGCGGTCCGGCAGGTTCAGAGACCCTTTTGTATATTGTCGATTCGGTTTTGGCCGGACCACTTTGTTGGAGTGAAAGTTTGCGGGGATGCTGGTACGCAATCTGGATCGAGTCTGTCTTCTCGTGGGCGTGGGTTCGACCTCAGGCTCTTTACCAGGCTCTTTATCAGACTCGTGATCAGACTCGTGCTTATCTGAAGATCCAGAGCCGTCACACACAAAGTCGTAGTTGAGACAGTGTGGAGGGACTTCTGGGACATCATCATGGTGGGCTCTCTTCTCCGGCGAAGAGCACTCAGAGGAACCGTAGCCCGAGTCGGCTGGACTGTCAAAGGGGTTGGCTAGTCTGGTCAGCCCCCGGATTCGACGGGACCGGGGCGTGCGGGGAGTCGGTCCCATGGCCAAGGCCTGCTTGTTGGTCGCCGGCAAACCGATTAGCCTGCGGGCGGTAGAGAAAGATGTGTGGATGCCTTGGTCACCGAGTCACGGGAGAAGAGCTCAGACAACTCAGATTGAGCCCGTACGGTATTGAGACAAAGAATGACTGATCATACGGATAACAAGGTCAAAATCTATAATGTATGTCGGTTGGGACGTCGATGAGCCAATCCACCTCGCATACCAACGTGGCGAGATGGCGGGAACTGGATGAGCACGTGTCGGACAACGTAGGAAAGGGAGAAGAAGAGAGAGAGAGGAGACGACTGTAGGGGCATGAGGGATGGAAGAGAATGAGGAAGACAACAGCCAGGCGGCCGAGCTCTGCAAGAGATGTGACCGAGTGCAGTTTCTCAGGCAGCGCGCCATGACGGTGACAGTAGACGAGATACCTGATCACCAGTTTGCTGTTGCCTTAGATGAAACATACTCGATGGGTGCTGCAGTCACATGCAAGAATCTTCTTGCCTTATGTCCTGGGTAGGTTCCTCCCTTCCTGCCTACCTACCTTAGGTAGGTAGGCACGGTTATTTCAGTCGGGAAGGTTCACCTGGCTCTGAATTCCTGGAAGGCGTCTCCGGGAAGCGTCTTGCTCTCTACCATCAGATGGGGCCAAATTGTTTCTTCTTTTATTTATTGTGCATACCTTACCTTACCATTAAAACACCACAAGTAAACTGACCAGGGGACATGCCACAGCACCCTGGAGCAAGGCCGTCTTACATCAAGATCGTCACCTATTGAACTAGTGTGCTGTCGAACAGGGAGCTTGGGCCCGCCTGAACCAGCACCTCTCGCCTCGGTGTACCTACCCATCCGGTGAGGAGAGGTGGGGTGATTGTTCCTGGCAGCACTGTGACATGACGAGGTGGGCGGCGTCCGTGGGCGTGGGGAATCCCTGGCACCGTCACATTTACTTCCCGCCAAGTACCAAACACCCAAGACCGTCTGACAAGTCCGACAAGTCCGCCAACGTCCCGATTCTGCTGCATAATCCGGATCCGACCACCCTCGCCCGCAGTGGCACCTTGTCGATCCGTTCTGCCGTGACTTTATCCTGGACACCTTCCTTCTCTTGTTGGAAGCTCCCTCTTCATCTCTGCCATGGCCAGCGTAAGCAATCCCCCCATCATCATCACTCCCACGCCATCCCAATCGCCCGCTCTGCCAATCATCGCGATAAAGCTGACGCACGCCCAAAGCACGGCGTAGCCCGCACGTCCCGCGCCCGTACGCCAGCTCAGTACCAAGCCGACCAGGACAAGATTGCCGCCTACCGCGACCTCGACGCCCGCCTGCTTGCCGCCAACACCGACCCCTCCGCCCTCGCCGACCCCGCGACCCTGTCCCTGACGGCGGACCTCCTTGCTCGCAACCCCGAACACTACACGGCATGGAACGTCCGCAGGCGCTGCCTAACCTGTGGCTCCTTGTCAAAACGCTCGCCTGGGCCATCGCCGTCGGCGCCGTCCGCGACTTCTTCCACACACTCCACAGCACCAACGTCCTCCGCCGCATGGTCGCCCTCTGGCTCGGCCGCGACCCAGCCAGCCCCCGCGTCCCGTCCACACCCCTCGAGTGGGAGGAGTGGTACAACAGCTGAGGGGAGCCCGGCCCCTGGCGTTGCGGTCCCCGAGGCCAACGCAACCCTGAAAACGGACGACAAAACTGACGACAAGCACAATGCACTCGTCCTCGACACGCTGCGCTCCGAGTTACAGTTTACCTTTCCCCTCATCAAGGCTAACCCAAAGTGCTACTGGATCTGGAACTACCGCCTATGGCTGCTGCAGCAGGCCATCGAGCTGCTGCCGGTGGCTGCCGCCCGCCGCGTCTGGGACGAGGAGCTCGGTCTCGTCGCCCTGATGCTCACCAAGGACCAGCGCAACTTTCATGCCTGGGGCTACCGTCGCCACGTCGTCCGCACTCTAGAGAGCGAGGCGCTCGCCGGCAGCACCATGTCAGAGGCCGAGTTTGCGTACACTGAGCGCATGATCAGCGCCGGTCTATCCAACTTTTCCGCCTGGCATCACCGGAGCCGGGTCATCCCGCGCCTGCTGGATGAGAGGGGGTTCAATGACGCGGAGAGGCGAGCCTTTCTGGATGCGGGTAGGCATCCCTTGCCCTTGTGAAGACTTTATCACACTTGTTTCGCGAAGCTGACAGGCTGCAGAATTCTCGTTGGTGAGGAGAGCCCTCGACGTCGGGCCGGAAGACCAGTCCTGCTGGTACTATCACCAATTCCTGGTCCTCAACATTACGGAACCAGTAGGCAAGCAGACGATTGCGCCCAACCTGAGTGCCGAAGACAAGGTGCCCATTCTGCAGAGTGAGATCGACAACATTAAGGACCTTCTTGAAGACTACGACGACGATCTCAAGCTGGCATATGAGGCGCTCATGGACTACACGCCCGCCCTCGCGCGACTCGAAGGGCGCGAGGAAACCGAGGCCAACAGGGCCGAGCTGCAGGGGTGGCTCGCTAAGCTGCGGAAGCTGGACCCCATGCGCAAGGGACGCTGGGATGATTTCGAGCGGACGCATAGCTTGCGTTGATGTTCGTGTGGACTTGGTACGGTGTACGATGACGAATTGACATGATGAGATGATCAAATTAGATACAATATGAGCACAAGGTTGTTCAATACAAGGCAGCATGCTGTACATATCACCACAGATTTACCGCCACCACCTCCGCTCTTTATGCGGTACACTTGCCCCTGACAAGACTGGCATCCTTGCCAACGAGGCCGTCAATATATCCCAGCAGCGTCTCCACGGGGATCATGTCAATGGTGCCGAGCGTCGGGCTCGACGACTTGAACACCTGTCCGCCAAACAGCACGCGCACATACCACCCGCTCTCGCTGCCCGCCGCACCGGTCGGCGCAGCCGTGGGCGTCGTGGTGACCGTCGCCGTCTGCGTGACGACGCACGCGCACGCCGACTTGACAGCGGCCGCGTCCCCCTTGCAGTTGGCGATCCAAGCCGGCAGCGGCGACGCCGTCGCCGTCTCCTGGGCCGTGAAGCCAGGGCAAAAGGCTGAGGCCGAGGCCGACTCGCGGATCATCTGGCGCAGGCAGTTGTTCCTGCTGCAGCCGGGCGCGACGACGGTCGGTGCCGGCTGTGACGAGGCGGTACCGCCCTGCTTCTTCGTCTTCTTCTGGTACAGCTCGAAGACGACCTCGGCGCCCATGCCGGGCCAGACCATGTGGTCGACCTGCAGCAGCGACAGCAGGCGCGAGACGGAGCCGTCGTGGGCGACGTTGTGCCTGTAGATCGGGGCGTTGGCGGCGCCGTCACCGGCGGCGGCGGCGCGCAGGTGCCCCGCCAGCTCGGCGGCCCATACGCCGTAGGTCGCGGCGCTGGCGGCGAGCGAGTCGGGGCTGTCGCGGTAGATCTGGGAGTACTCCCAGTGGCCGATGCGGAAGACGGTATCGGCCTGGGTCTGGCTGATGCAGGCCGACGTGTCGTTGCGGCCGTTGACGAGCTTGCAGGGCAGGGGCTTGTCGTGGCACTGGCGGGCCGAGAGGTTGTCGTAGTAGGGGTCGAAGGAGTTGTGGAAACCGGCGTTGGAGGCGGGCACGCCAGAGATGGTGTCGAGAGCCGAGTAGAGCGGGGCCGCGGCGCGGAGGTGGTTCGCCCAGGCCGGGTTGCTGCCGGATTTGATGCGGCTGAAGAGGGACGAGCCGGCAGGGCAGCTGTACTGAGGTTCAAGGGAGTCGACGCCCGACGCCTGGATGTTGAGGCCCTGCGGCGATGTCGTGTCATACATGCCCTTGATCAGAAGGCCGGCAACTTGGCTCGTGATCTGGTTGTTGGTCACGCGGTACTGGACCTTCTCGTGCCACGAGGGGTCATTGCGACTGGGCAGGAACCCCAGAAGATCGTGATAAACGCCGAAGAGATCGACGCCGTGGACATACGAGTCGTCGAGGCCCTGAGCCGTGATTTGGGGGAATTGGCAGGTTCCGATCCAGCCGGCAGGGACGAAGGGGTTGACGGGCGAGATGTACACTTTCCAGTACGTCTTGGCTGCGGAGTTGCTGCCGTCCAGACGCTCTCCAAAGTAGAAGAGGCCCTGCTCATCGCAGTTCCACTGGTAGGACTCGACGGGGAAGGCGTTGGAGGAGTACGGCGTGCGTTTGTGGTGACGGTGGATCTGGCACAGAATTAGTCGTTTGGTCAAGTAGAGAAGTCCCAGGACTTGGCTCACCAGCTCAACATATTTCAGTTCAAAGTCATCCGACGGCCTGACATATTCCGTCTTGCGCACGTGGGGCATGTTGCACCAGTTGTACGTGCCGTACTTGTCGATTGGCGTCTCCGAGGTATCATAGATGAACCCCCACTTGCCCTCACCGTTGAGCACCTCGGTGAAGTTGGCATTGACCTGGGACTTGGCTGGCGCATGCCAGCTCACATCCATGGACTGTGCTGACACGGTTGAACCGACAACTGCGAGGGCGCCCAGGATGGGGCCAGTCTTGGACCAGAGAGCCATGATGTGTTGCGTGGTGTAGGTGCCGATGAGGAAAATGCCAAGGCAGAGTAGGGTGAGCCTGGTCAGTGAAGAGAGGCTTGCTGATTTCATGCTCCCAGCGGCCAGTGATGAAGACATGACAACGGCTTTTATGCTCGACGGCCATTCTACACTCCCCTCCTCATCAAGGTCCCAAAGTGCTGGCGACAAGGTCACCACGTGCGTCGGCGGTGCTCCGCTGGCGGGGTCAAAGGTTGCATCTGCAATTTCGGAACACGGCGAACAAGTGGCACTATGGGACACGTTTCGAGGCCCGTCTGTAGGGACTATTGATGATATTGAAGGATAGCCTGGCGGAGAGTTCGGTCGTCATTCCCACGATGATGCCCAAGTGCAGTCGTGGTTGGCGGCGTGGGCTCGCACGTGGGGAGGCGCGCTCGACGACTGGCTGTTCCTGGAACGGTACGTACCTGGCCGATTGACCAATGGCATGTGTTCCTGGTATGCGAGGAGGGAAGCACTGCCAGATTCCTGCGAATAGGTACTTGTCCCAGTCAAGGTAAGGTTCTCGTAGACCTCATGTATTCTCCCGTGCTACCTCTATCTGGATTTCCCTTTCATCCGAGTCATAGCAGGCCAGCAACGATCCCTCCATCTCCATCATCTTGCCCCACCTATGTCTGTCTATCCGGGTTGAGACCACCCTGAGCATCATCGCCTCTCTGTCGCCATGCTCAGCAAGATGAAATCGACTGCGAAGGTGCTTCTTCACAGCTCAGAACGCACACTTCATCTGGTTTTTTCTTTCTTTTCCTTATAGAAAAAAAAGCCATCAATGTCCTCGTCGATGGCCACGTCCCAGGTCAATGCCAGGAAACTGGGGGATTCCGAGGATGCCTGGGGCCGGACACTGGTTGTACCAGTATGCGTCAATGAAGTACCACGCAACCCATCTACCAGACTGCTCGTCCCAACCATACCGCCACTCCCCTAGACGCGGCGGGGTCGGGATCCTCGGCACGACAGGTTGCTGTAGGGTCGGTGGGTCCGCGAGAGTCGGCGAGGGCGGGGCCGTGTACGGTGGCAGAGCCGCGCCCCGTTGATTGTGGGCGTGCTAAGCCTCGCCAGTTCGGGGGTCGACGTTTGGGGCACGGCGTTTCTTGTTGACCATCTCATCGACATCGTCGAGGTCGCGGAGCGTGGGCTGCCAGAGGTTGGTGGCGATGATGACGTCCTCAGCCATCTTTCTCTTCCCACCCTGGTTCTCGTTCTTGTTCTTGTGTCTGTCTTTTTTGTCGTCCCAGGCAGTGGTGCTAGCAGCTGTCATGTGCCGGGAGCTTATTCTGCGTCGAGAGTCTGGTATTAAATGATTTCTGCTGAATCCTGCAATCCTTGCGAGCGAGGACCACCAGGGGGCTTGTTGCTATCGGACAAAAGAAAATGCTGATGCAAGCTCGTCGTGGTGTAGCCAGAGCCTCTTTGGGGGAGCGATGTGAGCGACGTGACTGATCGATAGTGTGAGAGATGGTAGAAAGAACATGAACTCGAGGTCAGAGGCATGGACGTGCCAGATCATTCCTTATGGAAATAAAAGAAAGCTTTGGTCGTCATGGCGAATATGCTCTGACCCCATTGCGGTCAAGCAACGGGATAAAGAACGCGGTCGAGACAATGCCAGACCTGACGAGCCATAAAGCTCAACACAATTCTATGTTCCTTCATGGACAGAGGGTTACCAATGCGTATGTGCCAGAGCTGGCCGATCCTTTCTTGAGTCTGGACAAAGGGCCATGACATGGGGCACGCAAGTGGCCAGTGTATGTCTTGTCGTGAGTTGACTTCCAGGCTCCTCCCACATTAGAGTACTGTATCCTTCGTTCATCGTCTTCACGCAGGTGCGTTTCGATACAAATGTTGTGTAGTACTTCACAGAAAAGCCCACGCATTCAACACGAGTCCTTTTGGTCAAGGTCGTGAAGCTACCGGGTTTTGAGTAGCCCCCCCCCCTTCTATTACCCGTGCGGATCTCTGCCTGTCATTCTGGTATGAAGGGTGTTGGCGTGATCGTTGTTCATTTCCAAAAGCACCTGCAACAGCTAAGGAACTGAAATTCCATGTCTCGAAGCGCAATCCCATGATGAGAGGATTCCCCCAGTCCGTCGTCAAGGCAATACATGCTGTAGCGCGCACTCGCCATCTTGGCCTGTTCCGTGGGAAATGTGACGCGGGGTAAGCATCAGTCCTACGGAAACAGACCGTCCTTGGCCTCATCATAGTAGACCATGACGCCCAGGCCATGCCTTGCTCAATAGCGGGGAGAGCACCTCACAGGTTGAAGACACTTCTTTTCCGTGAGGGAATTGTTCAGGCAGCAACTTTTAAGCAAGACAGAATAGCATGCAGGGTGAACACACCACAGCAATCCGTCACCTCGCACATCTGCCGCGAGCAAATGCAGAGGACAGCATCCGACTCACTTGCCGGCCTGCTCGGGCAACGAGACGTGGAAACGGCGCTTCTAGAATGGAGCCTTGGATCGAACAGCATGGGAATATGGCTGCCTGCACTGCATGTCGGTCGTCGTCGACTCCGCCTCCTCCAGATGGGCCACAAGTTAAAGTTGGGTCGCCAAGAAAAGTGTTGGGTGGCATCGTCTCTCGGAGAACACTGCACCATGCCTACGTTAGGTGCCTAGGTAGACAAACTCAAAAGACAACCCACGTAGACAAGATGCGCATCGCCCACAGACGGAAGGAGCGGGAGGGCGGAGCAATGTCCTGCCCGTAGTGGTGTTCCCCTTCCACGGCTGCCTTGCCCTCTGGATCTCAGGACCTGCCGACCCGGGAAGGCTGCCCGATGAGGGCGGCGACGTCAGTGGCCGGATCCCGTTAGCGGACTGCACATGACAAAGCCTCCTGGCTCCGGATAGGTCCACCATGATGGAACAGGACCCACCCGCTCATCCACCCATCCATTCATCATCCATCCGTGGCCGCCCCCCAATTCATGACTGCTGTGACACCTGACCCTGAACCTTTCCTCGCCGTCAGCCATTGCACCTGAACCACCTCACCTACCATACCAACAATAAAAGCATCCCAACCGCCCCTCGAACCGACCTATCCAACGCCAAAAACCCAAACATCAAGAGAAACCTTTCGATCGCGAAGCCCAAGACAAACCTAGAAGAGCCCGACGACTACCTTACCTACCCAACACACCAAAGACACCCACCATCAACATGAAGCCCTCTTCGTTCCTCGTTGCCGCCCTCGCCATCGTCCCCGGCGCCATCGCCGTCGACCAGATGAAGAACATCATCGTCTGGGCGCAGGACGACACCACTACCGACGCCATGATCGAGAAGGCCAAGTCGGCCATCATTGATGCCGGTGGCAAGGTCACGCACGTCTACAGCACTCTCATCCGGTACGTCGCCTACGCCCGACGAGAGCGATCGACACCGTTACCTCGTCAACCCCCACAGGCTACAAGAAACGATTTGGGAGAGTTGAATGCTAACAGAAGACAGTGGGTTTGACGCCATCGCGCCTGCCAAGGTCGTCGAGGCCGTCTCCGCCTTCGACGCCGGCCTCAAGGTCGAGGAGGACCAGATTGTGACGACATACCAGAACAAGGACAACTAGAGGGGGCGAAGCGACGAGGCATACGACGGCGTGCTCTGGAGCATGGACACAAAAGGATGTCGAAATCATGGGGGACGGGCCTCGACGCAACGATGACACGCGTGCCATGCCATCGACGGCCCGGGGAGTACAACCACATTCATTCGCTTAGCATGGGAAGTATCTGGTGTTGGGCGTTTTTTTAGCAGATACCTGATCGAACTGAACCGAATCGAACCCTTGGTGGCTCGACGAATAGACGGACACTTGATTTTTGTTTGTATTTTTGTTCTGAGCATCGTCCCCGTGTTCATGCAGTGTTACACTCTCAGACTGCATGGCACCAAAGAAGGTTCGCTCCTATAGTTTGAGGGGGCGGTGGCATGGTTCGTAAGGGCCTGTCGATGCGCCGCTACGAAACCAAGGGACCATGCCCGTGATTGAATCGGAACAGCTCGTCTGCCGCTCAAGCGATCACCGGCCATCTGAAGGCTGATGGTGTTCACCTGTGAGAGGGACCGACGCCTGAAAGAAACCGACCAAACCGTAAGCATGACGGCTGGGCGTTGATGATGAGCGTGCTTGTGGAGGAGAAAAAGGCGGGATCGGCCGCTAACATAACCCCCCTCCCGTGTCCCTCTCTCCCAGCACCACCCCACGATGATGACATGCAGTACACGGCTCGACTCAACCTGGGACCTGGGATACTCAGCGGCCGAGAGCTCCGCCATCCGTCTGCCCAGGGACAGTGGGGAGAGGGACGGAGAGCTCGGATGGTTGTCACGTTCGGCACAGCGTGACACCCACCGGAAATAGGCATGCCTCTTCTCTTCTCTAGGCTTTGTTTGACACAGATGTGATTTCTGCAAGACCATGGGGTGTTTCTCCTGACATTTGCCTCATCTACACAAAGTGGCTAGGGGCCATGGAGGGGCCAGAGCGTACATGGTACATGAAGCATGGGGGAGGACGAACGACGGGGGGGGGAGGGGGGCGATGGTGCTGTTTGAGGGGAGGGCCGGCGGGAAACTCTGCCTTTGTTCGGAAGGCTGGGGATGGGAGCTGAAGAAGCCTCTGGTGTGTGTGTGTGTGTTGCTTGTTCTTCAGCTGGGAAAGGGAAAAGAATGAACAAGGCGTCTGTGATGTGCCGTCACTCGAGATACTGAAGTCTCAACTCAGCTCGGCGTCCTGCTCAGCTCAGTGCGATGTGAGATGCGTGGGGGGACTGACGAACAGCAGTAGACACCTTCAGGCGAGGGTACCTCACGACAAAGACAGCAGAAGACAGAGAAGGGTCCCCGGCATTGAGCAGCAAGCCCACGACATGTCATGCAGGTCCCCCCCCCCCCCCTTGATGCGACGCCGTTATTGGCCTTGACCCCCCTAGTCGAGTCATGGCATGGGATCCCTGGTCTCTCGTGTCGCCTCGCCTCAACCTTGTGCAGAGTGTCACCCGTTGTTTCGGACACTTTGGATAATTGGACCGTAGGGAGCACCTCTGGCACCGAGACATCTTTGGCACCGCGACACAACCCAACCTGTGGCTTTACAGAACATCGTAATCGATAAGAAGAAAGAGCTTGGACCCGGACTTGCTCGTTGACCCTCCGTATCGTCCCTGTCCATCGTCTCGGTCCCCTCGAACAACATTTGTGATTCAGCACGACGACCCTCTTCAATCCCATTGTTCACCTACTGACGCTGGACACCTTCTCTGACGTCTGCTCTGCGGACCTCTCTCCCTTCCCCACGAATGGCCTTTTACTAGATAACACCCGCCAACAGCAGCAGTCTCCTTCGTGCCGAGCATGCCACCGCCGTCAACATTCGCTGCATACATGGAATCAGGCCTTCGCTGAAGACATCCCGAACATTGGCTCTTCGACGACGACGAGTCTTGACGACAAGGGACACGACCTCCTGTCTTTTCCTTCGGCCCACCCACCATACGACCCAGCACATACATCACGCACACAAGCATGACGTTCACAAAGGGCGCGCAGGACGCGCTCCTGCAATGGGCCAACACCTTTGCCCTCGACAAGAAGGCCAGGACAATGGACGACTTCCATGATGGCATCCTCCTCTCCCAGATCCTCGCCGACCTCGACACCAGCTACGACCCCTCCGAAGTCCAGACCGAAGACAAGCGGTGGCTCGCCAACAAGAAGAACCTCCAGAGCGTCTACAAAGGCCTTGCCCGCCTGATCCACCGCGAGTGTCCCGGCCTCGGCCGCCAGGCCAGGATCGCCGACTTTCGCGCCATCGCCTCGAGCCCCGATGCCCAGGGCATCTGCAAGGTAGGCCACGACCACCCCGTGTGCTCGACGAAGCCCACCCAGCGCGTGCTAACCACAGTGTCCCTGCAGCTCCTGGCGCTCCTGTTCGCCGTCGCCATGCTCGGCAGCAACAACGAGCGCTACGTGACCCGCATCACGCGCGACATCACCGACGGCGCCGCCCTGTCGCAGCTGCAGCGCATCACGGTCGAGATGAAGACGGACATGGAGGAGGCGCTCGCCGCCGCCGGCACCGACGACGCCCACGACGTGGCCGTCGAGGCGCGGGACCCGGACCTCGCCCTCGAGGAGGAGAACGCCGGCCTCATGGCCCAGCTCGACAAGAAGCAGAAGAACCTTGCCGACATGGAGACGCGCCTCGCCCACCTGCAGGAGAGCTACGACGACCTCAAGGACGAGGCCGCCCGTGTCACGAGCGAGCTCGAGGACGTGCGCAGCATGCACAGCGGCGCCGGCGACCAGGTCATCCGCAACCTCGAGATGAAGATTCGCGAGCAAGACGAGCTCATCGCCACACAGGAGGGCCAGCTCGAGGACGTGCGCGTCGCCAAGGAGCGCCTGCAGACCGAGATGGCCGCCCTCAAGACGAGGGCCGCCCGCGCCGACGTCCTCGAGGACGAGGTCAACGAGCTGCGCTACCGCGCCGAGGAGCTCGGCCGCAAGGCCAACATGGTCGAGCGGTACAAGCAGAAGCTCGAGGCGAGCAGCAAGATGCAGAGCGAGCTCGACAACTTGCGCTACGAAAAGGAGGAGATGCAGCGCGACCTGCTCGAGTACGAAAAGGTCCTGAAGAGGAACCGCGCCCTCGAGCTGACAAACGACAAGTACGCCGAGAAGATGCAGGATTACGAGGTCCAGCTTATCGAGCTGGACGGCAAGCGGAAGGAGGAGTACAACGAGATGATCGCGCTCAGGGAACACCTCGAGTCTCTCAGCGCGCAGCGCAAGGCTGACGAGATGTTCATCGGCGAGCTGCAGGAGCAGATCAGCACGGGTGGCCACGGCCACGGGAACAAGTCTCCGTCGAGTCCTGGGGGCGCCGGGTTCAACCTCGACGAGGAGCTCGAGAACGCAAAGGACGTGGCGCCCAATCTGAGCCTCGAGATCTCACGACTCAAGGCCGAGAACCAGCTGCTGCGCAGCAGCATGGGCTCGGGATCAGAAAACTCACGCTTGCGCAAGGAGCTCGAGGAAGAGCGCGCGCAGCGCAACCGGCTGCAGAAGAACTTCAACGATATTCACGAGAAGCACACCGTGGCGGAAGCACAGGTCCAGTCACTGCTGCGCGACATGACGGACGAAAAGTATGTCGAGAAGATGGATACCCTGTTCCCCGCCGGTGGCAACGTGGCAATGCTAACGCAGGAGTTCTTCACCGCCAGGGCCTACAACGAACTCGTCGCACAGCAGAAGAAGTCGGAATTGGAGCTCAAGCAACACATGGAGCTGGCGACAGAACTACGAAACCGCATCGCGGACCGTGACCGCGAACTGTTGAGTGCGAAGACTGACCTTTCAGCCGTCGAGAAGGATAGTATTGAAGCGCTCGAAGAGCTCAAGGCGACCGACAAGCTCATCTCCGGCTCGCTGCAGGAGGAGCTCGAGGCGCTGCGAACCGACCACAAGAACGCCGCCACGGACGTGCAGGAGGCGCAAAAGGCACTGACCAAAGCCCTCCTCGAGAAGGACGAGCTTCGAAAGGATCTCGATACCGTCAAGGAGCAGGGCGCTGGGCAAGACTCGTCCAAATATCTGGAGAAGATCCAACAGCTGCGTGACCGGCTCAAGGAGCGCAACGAGGTGAGTGGCCCTCTTTCAGTCCAGTCGAGATATACGCGAGACCACATCGTCATCTTCCCCGACAGCAACACGCGCCTCCCCGGACAGCCCACAAGGCCGCCTGCGTGCAAACAGGCCCGTAGTAGCATCTTACCAGCCCGTCCTTCCGCTGCCCTTGTCAGGGACAGCCATCCGCTGGCGCGAGAAGCAGCCTTCAAAATGACTGCCCCCAAGCTCTCCCTTTCGTCCGTACACTCCCCAACATGCATGGGAACGGCGGAATCAGGCATACCTGCCCCTGTTCAAGGCTCGAACCCGATACTCCCGAAACCCAAGGAACGGCCCACGTCTTGGTTGCCCGTCCACAGCAGCGTCCCTCAAGAGAAGCGTAGCTCTTGGGGGGCACTGTTCTGGTAGATGCCGGTGGATGCCTGTACTTTCAAGTGGAAGCTGCACAATTGATGGGCATCGTCACTCGCGGCTGTATGAAACACAGACTGACATGACATCTTCTAGCAACTCGAGAAAGCCGAACGCGACAGGCACGACCTCACGCGCAAGCTCAAAGCCTCAACAGATGGCGGCGCCGCACTGGCACAAAAGGTATACGCTGGACGATACTTTGCTCCCAAGAGCTTCCCCCTTTCCCTAGACAGCGCAAGAAAAATTCCCGTCTTTCTCTCTCTCTCAGAACGGGTCTTCACTTCATCCGCGTGAGAATCTGACGCTGACTATTGCAACCTGAAGACCCAGAGCGACCAGATTATCAAGAACCTGCAGCGCGAGAACGCGCTCATCGCCACGGCGTGGTACGACCTCACAAGCAGGTTGCAAAGCAACCACGTCGTTCTGCAAAGACGCAACGATGTGCCGCGTAGCTGGCTCAACAAACAGCGCCAGATGGTCAATGGTACGGCCAAGCCCTGCTTCTTCCAAGCATGATGCGGTCGTCTCCGCGACGCCGCGCCAGGACCCCCAAGCCGCGGCAGAACACATCGCTGATAGTTATTGATATGTCCAGCTACCCCTAGGAAGTGAGCTTGGCCGTTCAGACCGGCAAGGGTCACGCACCTGACTTTACGACCTTTTTCAGCCCTTCACTTATACCACGATCATCATTATCATATCACTCATCGCATTAGAGCGTTCCCTTTTTCTCTCCCAGAATCCCATCTCAGCCTCTCGAAACTTCACATTTAGGCACGTTTTCACGGATTCACCCGCATGTTGTAGAGTTGACGCCGACTGCGTGCTCCGTCATCAATTGAACCGCCCTGCTTTCTTGTTTCTCCTCGATCGACGGTAGCTGGCTTCGTCGCATTCCTCTGGCGTGCGGCACGTTCCTGGGTTGCTTTTTTTCTCCGGAGTTGTTCTGCTAGAGTGTCGGGTTTTGGGAGGTCTGAAAGGAGATAGAAGTAAATACCCCCCCACATTCAATATTAGGTGGAAAACACCACTCCATTGCGTGTAAAACCTAGTTAGGGCGATGTTTGTTCGCAGTGACATGTGCCGTGGGATGATCTGGGATACTTTGGCGGCGCTCGCGCCAACCTTGGGGGCTACTAGTCAGCTTGAAACATGCCTGGCAACCTGATATTGTCCTTTGGTCAGACGTCTAGTGATCCTCACTGCATGGACAGGATTGATGTACATGCGGTGCGAGGTCAAGGTCGCCCGCCCGTCCATATCGTTGCGTCGGGTAGGGGTGGATCGCGCGGGATATGAGTTGTCATGGTGCAGTTCAAAAGCACGTTCATTGACCCAAGGACTCGGGTCTACAGAATGAGTTTTTGCCGCAGTTTGTAGGACAATACGCAACTGTCAAACGGGGCATTGCTTCAGATCGTTGTTCACGTACTTCATGCTGTCCAGAGAGCATCCCTACGAGAACTGAACCAAACCACGATGGCCACAGACTCAAGATACGGTGCAGCAACGAATCCGAGTACATGCACGGACTCAGCACGAGACTCCAGAATATCACAATAATGGCGGAAGATGGCAGAAGAGTTCATCCTTAAACCTCCATTCGGTTTATTAGTGAGACAGTGATACATACAAGGCGTGATGGTGGCCGAGGGTCTCCCGGACAAGTACAATGAACATACTCCGTCGCTAACCCCCTGGCAGAGACGAGCGCAGGCTCCCCGATGCAGCAACCCCAATTGTCCAACGCCTCATCCGGAGGCTTGGAGCTCAAAACAAACATCATGAAGCGCTTTTCCCCCTCCGTGCCGGGCGTGACATCCAGGAAACGTCGCATCGTGCTCCGCAACTCTCCTCCGTTGCTTCCGACCATTTCTCCCCTCCCATTCACGCGAGTCCTGCTTCCAGTGGTGGCAGGGCATCCAAGGGGGAGACGGGCTGCCTGGGGCAACCCGCTTACTGTGAGCCGGTGATGCGGCTGATGATGCCGGGAGCGCTGGGCTTGCGCTGGGCGTCGAAAATGGTGAGCATGTTCTTCCATACCTGCGAGGGCTGCTGGGAGGCGTCGATGCCCTTCCAGATACCGGTCTTCTGGTAGTAACCCACGACGGGGGCGGTCTGCTGGTGGTAGGTGGCCAGACGCTTCTTCAGGGCCTCGGCGTTGTCGTCACTGCGCTGGATGAGAGGCTCGCCGGTGATGTCGTCCTTCATGTGCTCCTTGGGAGGGTTGAAGGTGCTGTGGTACGAGCGGCCAGAGGCGGGATGGACGAGACGGCCGGTGATGCGGGCGACGAGGAGGGAGTCGTCGATTTGCAGCTCGACGGCGTGCTGGAGGTTCTTCTTGCGCTCGGCGAGCATCTCGTCGAGGCGCTGGGCCTGGACGACTGTGCGGGGGAAACCGTCGAGGATGAAGCTGGGGGTGCACGGTTAGCACGGGTCGGTGATGCACCGGATTGGGAAAAAAAAGGGCAAAGACAACATACCCTCCCTTGCACTCCTTGTTGTTGTCGAGCTCCTCCTGGATCATGCCGATGACAATCTCGTCGCTGACGAGGCCGCCCTGGTCCATGATCTTCTTGGCTTCTCGGCCCAGCGGAGTCTTTTTCGCGACTTGCGATCGCAGCATGTCACCGGTGGCCTACGCGCGAGCACAAGATCAGTACAGCGTTCAAATCTTGGCAAAAATGACGTTTGAACAAGCCAATTGACATACCAGGTGGCAGCAGGAGAACTTCTCCTTGATCTTGGGAGCTTGCGTGCCCTTGCCTACGGAGAAGGCCAAACGTCAGCACCAGATACCTCTGCGAAAACAGGCGCGAAAAAGACGCCAGTAGGACGAGCATACCAGCACCAGGGGGGCCGATGAGGATCATGCGGACCTCCTCGGCACTCTTGGTCGTGGTACCAAAGGACTTCTGCTCCAGAGACTTGATCCGCGACTCGAGGCCCTCGACCACACCGGTCAACCGCTTGACTTCATCCTCAATGATACCCATTGTTGCAGAGCTTCGAGTGAACGAGGTCGTACCGGGGCAGAGTTGCGAAAGTGTGTCTCGAAAGGGAAGGAGGAGCTACTCGAAGGCACAGAAGGGGGAGGAGGTGGGAGGACCGAGTCGTGTATAGTCGTGGGGAGGAGAAGGGTGAGAAAAAAATAAATTGGCAGAGGGTTGGATGGTGTTGAGAACTGGACGACAGGTAATCAAGGTCGAAGGTCAAGGCCGGGCTAGGAGCTGTGTTCTCGCGCACCTGCCTGTGTACCTGTGCACCGACCCGGGCCAGAGCAGCCAGTCGCACCCGAGCAGGGACCAGGGGCCTGCCGTCTGGGATCTCTATTGTTGCGACGGTGGCTCTGGCTTTCCACCATCCACCATCCACCCGCAGCGAGCGTTGAGCGCACCCAGACGTGACGGGTGGGAAAGCATGTGGGGCGCCCCAAAAACACAGTGGAGCTCTACAGCGGTCGTCCGGCTGTTTCGTCCTGCTGTTGCGTGCTATAGCCTCCGTATTCCCGCCTGCCAGCTGTTCCGTTACAGCGACGCCGTCGCTATTGGCCCTGGCCCCCCACTGGACATTCCTCTGCGCCGAGGTTCGGTCAGACTGGTTAGTACTCGGATAATCCCTTCGGTTCTTCGGGAGAAGCACGGATAAGGATGGTTGGTATGAGGTCACCACCGCCTTGCTGGCGGTGCGACATTAATACACACACCCGGCACGAATGGGGTTGGCATCAAGGTCATACCATCGGTATGTGGTGCCGGCATTGGCTTCTCACATGCCTATGGATGATCATTTGCGTGTCAGAAAGCCAGACAAGAGGGCCATGCTCCGATTCCTGCTTTTTTGTATGCACAAACTTGTATGCATAGATAGAATGCAAGCCCACGTGAACATGACGACTCGCTCAGAAGGGCATCGAGGACTCTACCTATTAAGGTGCCTTTGGGTAAAAGTACCTTGGGTACCTAGGTAGGTAAGCTACCTTGCGTAGCCAGCACCTCGATCACTTACCCGGCCCAGGTGCCCGAAGCTTAGCTTATCTAATCATTGCCCCCCTGCATCGCACGTGACCTCGCGCTACAGCTCCCTTGGTGCGCTAAGCTGCTCTGAGAGCTCTGAGCTGGGCTGGGCGCAAGGCGGAAGGCAGCATCAAGTTACGACAACACCACCAACGATATCGAAAACCGCCGCTGCACTACCATCGCCATCTCTCCCTCTCGCCAACCACCAAACCACCCCTTCTCTGCTGCACCGAGACTCAAACCACCCACCATGCCTGCCACCACAGCAGACACGCTCTCTCTCGTTAACCGAAACGTCTCCGTCGCCCCTCTCGTCCTCCTCTCCGCCGTCGATCATTACAACCGTGCTGTGTTTAAGGGCTCCAAGCGCAGAGTCGTCGGTGTGCTATTGGGTCAGAACGATGGAAAGAACGTCAGGGTGTCAAACAGCTTCGCAGGTGAGTCGAAATCTGGTTTCTGATTCCTGAGAGCGCCAGGAATGATCTCAGGGCTGACAAACCATCGCCACAGTGCCCTTCGAAGAGGATGAGAAGGATCCCTCCGTATGGTTCTTGGACCACAACTATGTCGAGGGCATGAACGACATGTTTAAGAAGGTCAATGCGAAGGAGAAGCTGATCGGGTGGTACCACTCTGGACCTAAGCTGCGCGCGTCAGATTTGGAGATCAACGAGCTGTTCAAGCGATACACACCAAACCCCCTCCTTGTCATTATCGATGTTCAGCCGAAGGAGTCTGGCGTGCCCACAGATGCGTATTTTGCGGTAGAGGAGATCAAGGATGTAAGTGTACATAACACTGCTGGCAAGGCCCTTGCTGACCTAAAAAAAAAGGATGGCACCACAACGTCCCGGACCTTTGTACACACACCCTCCATCATCGAGGCCGAGGAAGCGGAAGAGATCGGTGTTGAGCATCTCCTTCGCGACATTCGCGACGTCGCCGTTGGCACCCTCTCCACGCGGATAACGAACCAGCTGCAATCCCTGCAAGGGTTGCACCTACGCCTCCGTGACATTGGCGCATACCTCCAGAAGGTCCTCGACGGCCAGCTGCCCGTCAACCACGCCATTCTCGGCAATCTGCAAGACGTCTTCAACCTCCTGCCCAACCTCTCCACACCCAAGGCTAGCGCCGACGGCAGCACTAAGCCCGCGGGCAGCGAACTCTCATATGCGATGGGCGTCAAGACCAACGACCAGCTCATGGCGATCTACCTCAGCAGTCTCATCCGTGCCATCACGGCCTTCCACGATCTCATCGAGAACAAGATTCAGAACCGCCAGCAGCAGGAGGACAAGGAGGCGAAGAAGGATGACGCGGCCAACGGCGACAAGGACGAGAAGAAGGACGGCGCTGCCAATGGCGTGAATGGCGATGGGAAGGAGGGCTCCGACAAGGAGAAGGAGACCAAGGAGAAGAAGAAATAGACCACTCGACACGAAGGGCAAAGCCCCGGTGCCGGGAGCGATAGGGCGCAGGGGCGCGGGCAAGGCGCCGCGGGGCCAAAATAGACCAGGCGGAACGGCGCGGCAGGCGATACGGGCTTGTCATGATACACTTTGGCGTCCGGGAGGAAGAGGTTGGCCGGGATCAACCATTAGCAGTGGTGGGCGCGGCCGTGTCGGCATTGAGGCTGCGCGCCTCACACTGTACAACTGAAAGCATTGATTTGAGCAAAACGTGACGGCCCTAGACTGCCGAGACCCAGTGCGATGGTGTAGTAGGGACTGGTGTTCAATTTTTACATTTCAGCTACCATGCCCGCCATCTCCATTCTGGAGACTCGCCTCTCGACAGCATGACTCCCCAGGACCTTCCATCGTTCAGCCAGTAGACTGGCCAGTAGATGCTTGCAGCATGACACGGCCGCGCCGCCGTCCTGCCCGTCAGAGCTCATGCCTCCAAATCGCCATTCGATCGCCTCCTCTTCTGCTGGGCCGTCCACGTCCGTCCCGGCTTCGAGGATATCCTCGTCCCCGTCCACGCGGATGGGGAACGCCTCATACGCAAAATTGGCGCACGAGCAGTTCCACGCGTCAAGATGCACAATGTACGGCGCTGACAGCGTCGCGGCGTATGCGTTGCGCTTCGAAGTCGCCGCCGCCGAGCGCACGAGGTAGAAGGCCGCCGCCTCGTTCTCGGCCGTCTCTCCCTGCACAGCTCGCTCGGGAAGCACGCGGGTGACGAGAGAGCGGTCGAGGAGGTCCAGAGCTGGCAGGAGGAGGGTTGGATAGAGGACGTGCAGGGTTGCAAGGAGGGGCCGGATGGCAGGCGGGAGACCAGAAAGGGGGTTCGATGGGGCGGTGTTGGGGCTGGTTGCTGGGGCTGGGACGGAGGTGATCGTGTTGACCAGAGAGGTGAGCACTGCTCCAGGGGTTGGGAGTGTCATGCTTTCGGGATGCGTCATGAGTCTGGATGAGGTACATGTAAGTGAGGTCCTGGCGTTGAAAGCTGATGAGTCGTAGGGAGCATGAGGGCCCGGAGCCTGGCTCAACGTAAGGCGCTATGTGATGTTGTCTGGTTCTGTAGTCAGTGGTCCATTCTGCGTCACGAGTCGAAGGCCATACTACATTTGTTTCTGAAGCGAGGCATCGTACAAGTCGAAATGTGGTCAGGTTGCTATGCAGGAGATCATGGTAGCCACCAACACCTACGGTCGTGGGTGAGACGGCGCCATTCGAACAGTGCAATACATTTTTAGCTGGACTGTACGTTATCATGCTCTCTCCAACCCAAATTTTGAGTTTCAAATTGAACATACGAAATCTTCTAGCAAAGTTTATATCGTCCCAATGTCATTACAGCCCTGAAATACTTTTTTTGGTGTTACAATCGCAAGTGAAATCCTGTGCGCCGCGCCTTTACACCCACTCCTTAGGGTTCCTCAACACATCCACCAGCCTCTGCTCACGACTCTTAGGCTCGGGCTCGTGCATGTAGTGCCACGATGCCGTAAGTGGCAGGCTCATGAGAATGCTCTCCACCCTGGACCCCGGGGTGTTGAGGCCAAACGCCGTGCCGCGATCGTGGACCAGGTTGAACTCGACGTACTTGCCCCTGCGAATCTGCTGCCACTCCTTCTCCTGCTCAGTGAAGGGCATGTCCTTCCTCTTCTCGATGATAGGCATGTACGCGGGCAGGAAGGACTTGAGGCAGTCTTGGGCAAAAGCAAACGTGTTCTCCCTGTCCTTCTCCGTCTCATCGAGGTCGTCGAAGAAGATGCCGCCTACACCGCGGCACTCGCCCCTGTGCTTGTTGTAGAAGTATTCGTCACACCATTTCTTGAAGCGAGGGTAGTAGTCCTTGTCGTGGTTGTCACATGCCTCCTTGAGCGTCTTGTGGAAGTGCACGGCGTCCTCGTCGAACAGGTACGCCGGCGTCAGGTCGCTGCCGCCACCGAACCACCATGCATGAGCCGTACCGTCGGGGTGCGACGTCTCAAAGTATCGGTAGTTCAGGTGGACCGTCGGCGCCATGGGGTTCTTTGGGTGCAGCACCATGCTGAGGCCGGTCGCGAAGAAGGGGAGCGCGTCAATGTTCTCGTCGAGGTGCATGTTCTTGTGGTTGGCGCGCATCTTGGCGACAGCGGCCTTAGGGAGTGTGCCGTAGACAACACTGACGCCGACACCACCCTTCTCGAAGATGTTTCCGTCCTGGAGAACGCAGGTGATGCCGCCGCCACCCTCGGCGCGCTTCCACTCGTCCCTTCGGAACTTGGCGCCGTCGAGCTTCTGCAGCTCCCACACAATCTCGTCCTGCTGCTCCTTGATGAACTTCTCCATCCGCAGGCGCATCGGGGCGTCGCTGGTCACGCCCGCCTCCTTCTTGGTCAGGGCATCGCGTTCGGCAAGGGTAGGGCCATCGAGTTGATCGGGTTCCTGAACAGCCTGGGGTAGAGCAAGGTCAGCACCTGGCTCGGGGGATGATGGCGGGAGGGGATCGGCAGCATGTACCATTTTGTAGCCAAGGGTACCTGCAAGGGATAGGCCGACGGCAGAGATGAGCAAGTAGTTAGGTGTGTACGAAGACTTTTGAGCGGTCAATTGGGGTTCGGACGAGTTGAATCGAGCACCGAGTCGCAAGGGAAATCGATACGAGTGCTGCTGCTGTTGCTTCGTGGCAATCCTCGACTGGGCAGAGAGCTGGGTGAAGAGCTTCCGCCCTTGCCACCTGGAGGCCATCGCGAAGGGGATATAAATACAGACGAAGGATGGGAGCAAACAAAGGTGAATGATCGAACGATACTATGGTCTCAACATAAGACCACTTTCAAAAGTGCAAATGCGGTTGGCCGCTTTCTGATGGGTGTGACTTGAGAACGATCAGCCAGTCGGGTGGGTTGGATTGCAAGAAATCGAATGTTCGAAAGCCGAGAGCCATGCAGAGGGAAGAGCTCGAACGGAGCTGGACCCCTGGGCGACGTGGCTTGGCCCAGGGGCCACCCCAGGCCGCCAGCCTGTGGTTCGGCATTGAATCGGCTGGTGGGATGGTGGGGTGATGAACCGCGCACCTGGGTGACACTACACTGTCTTGACTGGGCACTAGGTACCTACCTGGCACTGGGTACCTAGGTAGGTAGGTACTAAAAACTATGTCAGGTGGGTACTGAACACACTGGACAACGGACACTGGAACTGGACACTGGGCGCAAAGGGGACGGGGGGTTATCATGTCAGCGGCGACGGGTGCGGGCACAGTACGTACCGAAAGCACGAATGACCCCTCAGGCCATCTCTGATTGCGTCACTGTGTCACGGCCATGAGTTCTCATGGTGTGAGTGCGACGAGGCCATGAATGACATGCATGCATCGACATGCATCAAACGGCTCGAATGTATGCCTGCTCTGCTTCGCTGAAAACCCCATCCAAGGCTAGCAAACAAAAACCTACACTGTGATGCTCCATGATGGCACATCGACGCCTCGTCAATGTTATGCTAGATCCCGTGGAGACAGCAGGCTTCCAAACCGGTGACTCCCCCCAGAGTCAGCTGCCTCGTTTTGACGGTTCACGAGCACTCAAAGCCGCCACCCCCCTATGCAATCCTCGGTCCACCAGCGTGGGGTCTGTGCACAATGCGTCGTTCATATCGCTATCCTCGGGGAGGCTTGGAGGCCTACAGAGGCGTATTTCGTGAAAGAATGCAGTCATTCAGTCGACGCTACGAGTCCAGCTGGCAGCCAAGCTTGATAGTAATTCGAAATCCCATTCCAGCTGCCACAATGGCACCGCTTCGCCAGGCAGCGGTGCTGGTGCTGGTGACCACTCACCAATATCCCCGCACCAGATCGGATCTGGACTAGCTTTGCAATTAGTCACCTGCCAGCCCCGCGCCGCCCGCCTGCCGCCTTCAGTGAACACCGCCCCTTCAGGTCGTCCAGGTCCCAGGCGGCAACCAACCCAACTCTACCTCTCCCCTTCGCAAACGTACCTCTTCTACCTAACCTTCTCTTCTACATCTTTCTCCGACACCATCAGTCATCACCACGACATCATATATAAACCCTTCTGCTGCACCCTTTTTGATCGACGGACCTGTCAACAGCGGCAACGAACCCAACCACAACCGACAGTATGCGATCCAAGTTCAAGGACGAGCACCCCTTCGAGAAGCGTAAGGCTGAGGCCGAGCGCATTCGTCAGAAGTACTCGGACCGTATTCCTGTATGTAGTCTCCTCTGTTCTATTTCTCAGTCGATACTGCCAGGCGACAACGTGGTATTTGTCGCTGTGTCGACCTTCCATCTCGTGCATGGGCGGGCATCGTCGGCCTCGACCATCGACTGATAAGCACCGTCTTATCATCACTGGTGCCTAGCCGCGACGGCCATTCTCATTGCGAAGCAAAGCAAAGCTGACCGCGCTCTCAACAGGTCATCTGCGAGAAGGTGGAAAAGTCCGACATCGCCACCATCGATAAGAAGAAGTATCTGGTGCCCGCGGACCTGACCGTCGGTCAGTTCGTCTACGTCATCCGGAAGCGTATCAAGCTCTCCCCGGAGAAGGCCATTTTCATCTTCGTCGATGAGGTCCTGCCACCCACGGCTGCCTTGATGAGCAGCATCTACGAGGAGCACAAGGACGAGGACGGGTACGTTTCTCCATCCCCCTCACTGTCCAGGTTCAGGGACTAACTACATTTGAAGCTTCCTCTACATTACCTACTCCGGCGAGAACACCTTCGGCGACTGCGAGACTGCTTGAGCTTCAGAGAGAGCTTCCTTTTTGCAGCTGTCCCTCAATTCGGACTATGTCGGCGTTTGGTTTCTCTGGTCACATTATGAATGGGTTATGGCTTCGCACTTGATTCACTTGTCAGTGCTTCGGGGAAGGGAGATGAAGTAGCCAGTTCTACTCGGATATTTCCTTTCAATACACTCAGATACCTCGTCTGTATTGCTCCTGGCGATGTTATGCCACTCTGGATGATGTTTTAGTGACACCTTTCTGGCGGTTACATGTCACACGTCGCTCGCCGTTCGGCAGCTGCTGCTGCTGCGCTGTGCTAGAGTGCGCTACCCGTTCAGATCCTCAAGGTCTGTTGGACATGGCCAGTATGTGTATCGGACTGGCTGTGATGCCAAGTCAGACACCAGGATGCCAAGGTACACCTGACTGGCAATAATAGTTGGAGGAGAAGGAACACTGGTATGCACACTTTATGGAAGTTAGGCTTTTGCCGTATGAGACTAAGCTGTCGAAGGGATGGGTCGAGTCAATGAGTGCGTACTCCAGCAACAGACACGTTCAGGAATGGAAGATCTGAATAGAGGACGAAGACTACAAAGCAAGACAGACCCCAATTCAAACTCCTGAGCGCCTACGCAATGCTGAATTTGGAATCGTTCAGGTTCTCAGGCTCCCCGGGGCGCTCTCAGTCTCTCCCCAGATATCCTTGCTTTCCTGTTCAACGGCTCTCATGCCGACAGCAACCTCTTCAAGCCGAGCAACGACGTCCAGCACACCTCGATTGACCCGCTGGAAATACTGATCGTTCGCCTCACGTCGCTTCCTTGCCAGCAGAATGTCGGCCTCGGTCTCTTCCTCGAGCTTAGCGCCCAGTCGCTCCGTGCCCATCCCGCTACTTCCAGGCCTTGCGCTGCCCGTTCCCGCCGTGCTGCGGCCGGCATCCGTCCCGTCACCACTCTTCCCGGTGGTCGTGTCACCCAGGACCGCACCCTTCAGGTTCCTGACCTCGTCGGCGCCAGCCGCCGAGAAAGCGCCGTGATCGCGGTGGCCTACGCCGATGGCATCGTCGGCCTCGCTGCGCGCCCAGGCTTGCGCGAGCGATATCTGCGCGGCCCGTAGGTCCGCCAGTTTACGATCATGATCGGGCCCGAACACATGCGTTCCGCCTGACGCAGAGAGCTCAACCTCCTCGAGAGTGGCTTGCATCTCGGCCCACAAGGCATCTGTCCTGTCGGTGGCGCTGCGGACGCTGTCCTGCTTACCCAGAGCGACGGTCGGCCGGTTGACCGAGGGCGCCGAGACTGTGAGAGATCCATTCCGCTGGTGCGAGGCCGCTTGCTGCTGAGGTAGAGAAGACACGCCGGCCGAGGTGGTGGCCGCAAGGGGGATTCCTGGGATCGAGACATGCGACGCAGCGGGTGACGGATGGAGGAACAGCGCGGGCGGAGGGTCCCGCTGCTTGCTCTTCGTCCTGTTCAGCGGGGGCGTGCCGCCGTTTTGCACATCACCCGTCACGTCCCAAGCCCGATCCGACGTTGACGAGCTAGTCACCTTGCTGAAACTCGACTGCATCGCATAGGGAACGGGAGGTGGGGGACTGGGAAGAGGTTCCGGTCGATGATGGGGTTGGGGTTGGATGTCGGCTGCAAGAGTAGCGACAAGTCCTTGCCATGATTGGATGACGAACGGTGAGCTGAGGGATCCGCACCGTCGACCGACTCTCCGCATCATTGACCCTGCCTTATCTTATCATGCACGTGACCCGCTTCGCCCAAGCCACCCCTCTAGGGTCGTCAAACCCTACAGAATTTCCTCTCGGCTCCGCTACAGCGACGAAAGCTCCCAGTATCCCGACTTTTCGCAGCCTACGCCCAGTCACCACCCATCAATCAAGTCATCACCCGCGATACCTCACTAAATCGGTACGTACGCACGCCCTGTCGAACGCCAGTCGCCTCCTCTGCACCGATTGCTCCCGAACGATCGAATTTCTGTCCCTTGTCATCGCCGCCGCCCCGTCTCGCATCACATCTTCCAACAACGAGGAGGGCGAAAAAAGCCACCACACACAAGAGCAAAAAATCACTAACATCTCGGTGCCGCAGCAACCATGGCTCGTGGACTCAACGCGGCGCGCAAGCTGCGCCTCAACAGGAAGGACCAGCGCTGGGCGGATCTGGGATACAAGAAGCGTGCTCTGGGAACCGCCTTCAAGTCCTCCCCCTTCGGTGGCTCCTCCCACGCCAAGGGCATCGTCCTCGAGAAGGTCGGTGTCGAGGCCAAGCAGCCCAACTCGGCCATTCGCAAGTGTGTCCGTGTTCAGTTGATCAAGAACGGCAAGAAGGTCACCGCTTTCGGTATGATACACCTCCACGGTCCGAGGGACGAGAGGAAAACGGGGAGAGTCGCGCGCCCGTCGGCGTGGCGTGACCTGGACATCCTCATCGTTGCGCACGACATGATTGCTAACACCTTTCTCCAGTCCCCAACGACGGTTGCCTCAACTTCGTCGACGAGAACGACGAGGTCCTGCTCGCCGGTTTCGGTCGCAAGGGCAAGGCCAAGGGTGATATCCCCGGTGTTCGCTTCAAGGTCGTCAAGGTTTCCGGTGTCGGTCTGCTCGCCCTGTGGAAGGAGAAGAAGGAGAAGCCCCGTTCGTAAACGGTCGGCTCGCAAGGGTCGTCGTGTGGAAGGAGAAACGGAAAATTTCGGCACTTGGAGTTCACGCTTTGCATTGGGCATGGATCATACGGTCACGGTCCTGATACTCTCGGAAGGCAGACATTTGGTCGATGAATGAAACAAGATCATAAACGTCCACCTGCTTGTGGCGAGGTGTCACAATTGAACACCAGGCACGGAAATTTTGCTTCTGCACGGCGACGAGATCATATTGAACGTGCCATGGATGGTGATGAATGACGAACGAGAGAAGCAGACGTGGTTATGATGTACAGGTACAACGTGATACATTACAGTCACAAAGGGTTCACAGGTCTATCGCATCTAGTGTACAATCGCCTTGTTGTCTTCGTCGTCGGCGGCGTACCGCACAGCGTAGTCCACGCCGAGGCCCATGCTGATGACGCCGCCGGTGATCCAGCAGCCGTTGACGAACCACCACCAGCAGTCCTTGACGCTCTTGAGGTTGACGCGCTTGATCATGATGCCGAGCGTCACGAGCGCGCCGCCGCAGCTGCCGACGAAGAAGGCAGGGCCAGCCCCGGCCGCAACGCCTGCGGCGCCGAGCAGGCCAATCTGGACAGCGGCCAGGCCCGTGAGGACCTTTTTCGTGTCGGCGTCGTGCTTGAGGGCGATGCTCTTGATGCCCGCCTTGGCGTCGTCCTTGATGTCCATGTGGGCGTAGATCATGTCGTACAGCACCGTCCAGGCAATGTTGGACGAGTAGAGGCAGGCGGCGGCCGTCAGCGCCGCGCTGTTGGCGAGCAGGTCGACGCCGAGGGCGGGGAAGCCCATGAAGGCGCCCCAGGAGAAGGTCAGGCCGAGAACGGCTTGAGGGTAGTAGGTGACGCGCTTGGCGAGGGGGTACGAGGCGACGAAGAGGAGGCTCGGGACACCGTAGTAGAGGCACTGTAGCGGGAAGGAGAGGAGGATACCGAGACCCGCGAACAGCTGGGCACCGGTGAAGACGAGAGCGTTGAAAGGCGTGACAGCGCGGCGGGCGATGGGGCGGAAGCGCGTGCGAGTGACGTGAGGGTCGAGGTTGCGGTCCCACAGGTCGTTAATGGTACAACCGGCGCCGCGCATGATGAGAGCGCCGGAGAAGAAGAGGAGGGTCGTTCCCAGGACGGACAGGGGGCTGGCCATGGGCATGGCCATCGGTGCGGCCATGAGGGTTGAGAAGAGACAGGGGAAGAAGAGGTAGTAGGTGCCGGTCGGCTTGTCGATACGGATGAGCTCTGCGTAGGGGACCCATGACTTCGGCAGAACAGAGAGGATGCCCGCCGTCGGCGGCGTGTATACGGGCTCAGCCAGGGGAACTGGTGAGCTGTCAGGGGTGACAACAGTGGTAGCACATCTTGCCGGGGTGAGAGAAACGAGCGCCGGCGGACAGTTCAGGGTCCGTTGAACAATGCTTGTCTGGGGTTTCCTGTATGGCCGTAGTGCCAAACTGGCGGGTGTTCTCCCAGACGAAAGTGAAAACGCGCGAGCTTGTAGTCCGCGAGCCGCCCACGCCGGACTCACAGGGAGTCTAACCATTCTCAAGACAACGCTCATCAATGTCAGTTGCTGGAGGGGGATCTGGCGGAGAAGAGCCACTCACAGTTACCGGTACATGTACAGAAGGAGAGAACCGTTCATCGCCCCCCCAGCCAGACTGAAGTGAGCACACGCAAGCCGGTGACGGTTGTGAAGTGAAATCGTGTATCACCAAGGTCCGTTTTGGTCAAAAATGTTGATGGTATGGACTTTGCTCATTCGCTCCCAAATCGACGAAGTGGTCCGTGCCAACGACTTTGCGGGTTTCCATTCTTATCGTACCTTACCTGGCCAGAGCTAGAACGCGCCACGAACCAAGATATCGCATAAATCTCGGCACCTTCAAGACATTCGGCTTCTTCATGAGATTCGGCTCCTTCATGAGATTCGGCTCCTTCATGAGATTTGGCTCCTTCAAGAGTTCATGAAACTCAACGAGAACTCGTCCTGCCTGTTTCGGAGCTGACTGAAGGCTCAGACTCTGACCGCAGAGCATCCTGTCTTGTTTTGCCCCATCACCGATTCGGAGCCATTGCAGGGCTTGTTGTTCGTCTGGCCATCGTGAATCAGAATGAATGCAGCACTGAAAGCAAGTCCATGTCCATGCCTTTGGCTGTCACACGACTGCCTTGCATGGCAATCGAGAGGGGCTGGTTGCGCCGACGGATGCCTCCCTGACGAGACTACGCACACCTATAACAGGCTGCGCCTCACTCTTCGATCGCACGAGACGAACGGCTGTTGCTGCCGATTGCTGTGCAGCCCGGACCGTGGCTCCGTACGGGCAACTGGATCCCTGGCTTCTTGAAGTGCTGACCGCCATTATGAGGCCCGCCGCCCCAGGAGAATGAGCTCACGACAGCACCGGCTGCTGGGGTCATGTAAGAAAGGCGCGGCTGGTGGTGGCTTGTACACAGAGTGCGAAGCAACGCGCCCCGCGGAATTACAGGAACTTTTGTACAAGAAGACTAAACTGAAGAAAAAAGGAAGCCTTGGCAACCCCCAGATTGCGCCAGATCGGGCGACAAATGCTGGGGCACGACTGCCACCTTACACACTGCTCATTTCCCCCATGGCCAACTGAGGAGGCCCTGCGAGGCCTGCGAGGCGGAGCGTGGCCGTTTGGGTGTCGGCGCAGTGCGCTGCCTAAACCGTGCCGCATCTCGGCCGCTGCAGCGCGAAGCAGAGAGGCCTCATCGTGAACATGGGCTCGTAGCAAGTTGCGCTATAAAGGGGGGATCTGGCGCCGACGACATCGTGACCATGGACCTTGTAGATACACTTCTTCACATTGTGCACAGCAAGCTTCTTACACCGAGAGCATCGAGACACCCTTTGAACTCATTCACCAATACTAATTTCCTCTATCATCTATTTGCCTAGCCATTACGATGCCTTCTTCCGTTGTCAACCTGTTGACCTTGATCAACGTCGGGCCTCTGACCACCACTTTCACCGCCCCAGAATCTTGTGCGACCAGCGACTTTGGCTTGAAAGGTGCTGCTCCTTCTGGTCTTCCGGCATGGCCATGGGCTGTTGTAGGCGAATGCCGCAACGAGACAGGACCCCGTGACAACGAATGTCTGCCGCTTGGCGAAAAGTGGGATGAACTCTGGACATCGCTCTCCAGTGCAGCGGCCGAACCAACGCCAACCGCCGAGGCAAGACTGCCCATCTTTTACAACTCGCCCGGCTACCACTGTCCTTCGGGGTGGGAGACGGCTGGCGTGGCGGCTGCCCTCAACGGCTCGGCCAGCGTCACCGGCGCGTTTGCTCCGGCGTTCACGGAGTTCGGTGAGCCGGAGGGCGCCATGCCGCCGGGCAACTTTCTCGCCAACCAAATCACGTCCGCCCTTGAGCCGCGGGAGACGGCTATCATCTGCTGCCCCAGGTACGTCCACTGCCTCCTTCCTCCCTGAACCCACCGATCTACAAGCACGAAGCCGAGGGCTGACAAGGTGCGTTCCGCACCCGAACAGCGGTCACACGATGAACCTGCAGATGGATACGTGCCACACCAGCTTCCCCGTCTCCGAGCTCGCTGGCTCGACCGGCTGCGTGACAAGCTCTACACCCCTCGCCTCGGGGTCAGCATCCGCAACGGAAATATATCTGTCAACAACATCGACGGTGACCTGGGACTATCAGGGGACCACCACGACCCAGACCTTTTACTTCCCCATCCCCGATCCCGACCAGACGTACGGTGAGCCGTCGACTGCTGCGTACACCTTTGGGCCGGAGGGACCAGACGAGGAGTACTACCCAGATGGCCCGTGGGTTGGCGTCAAGGGCACGCCTGCCGTCATCCTCTTCAACAAGGGCACTGCCGAGACCAACAGCGCCGCCCCCAGCAGCAGCACCACCGGAGGGAGCACCGATCCTGTCGAGGAGAGCGGTGCGTCGGCGATGCGCTCTGCGGGCATTTGGGGGGCTGCGGGAGGCGTGACGGCTGTCTGGACCGTCGCGGCTCTGGCTGGTGTCGGGCTGGTTGCTGCCCTGTAAGGAAGGTGATTGGTATGCACTGGTCAGTACGAGACAGTCAATGTCCGAGGTTGGAGGAGACATAGACGTATGTGTTCTGGTGCTTTTTCCTGAGCGCATGCATGGTGCGAGCTCGGGTTGCCTTATTTCGATAGATAGCTCATGATTATGGAAACATCCTGGCCATGAACCGAGAATTCGTTTGGTGTGTGAGTATGCTGATGATCAGTGCTAGTGCCTGTCGCAACACCATGAAGTCGATTTGATGTTCAAAAAGTCATTTGGGTGAACAACGTGTCTGCCTCTGGGTCGTTCCCCCCTTACATGGAAGGAACCACCATTCTCAGGTACGTGCCTCACCAAGGTACCACCTTAACGGGCACCTAGGCACCCAGGCACCCAAGGTACCTACCTACCTTACCTACCTTGCCTACCTAGGTACCTACCTAGGTACCTACCTAGGTAGGCAAGTTAAGGTGCCTCTGTACCTGAGAAGGTACTGGCTCTGGGCTAAGGGGCCCCTGCTAATGCCTGCACCCCGCTGAACCACTACCGGGAGCATTTCCCATTGGTCTTCGGTCTCCCAAGACACCTCCTGCGTGACGCGCCAACGTCAACTGCCATTTTATTCTCGACCTGTGATCGCATTGCAGCCTGTCGCAAATATCACCACGACATCAGATGGCCTGCTGGAACACCACTTGACGCGTCGATAGTACACACGAACACAAAGATCTGTGCACAAGTGCCACCAGGCGACACACATCGTCAGCACGCCCAGCCTCCTGTGATGTGGTGACCGGACTACCCACCCCCCACTCGACGCTCAAGATGCCAACCTCGATGCATCCCCAGGCCAAGTTCGACCCTATATCGCCGGACTTGGACCTCTACGCCTTGGTCGATCGATGCGCCAGTTTTGAATGGGTCCTTCGCATCTCGACCCGCCAGATCCGCAATCTGGGCCCCGAGGAGTTTGAGAAGCTGGTGATGCTTCAAGTCATCAACGGCGGCAAGCCTCTGGTCATTGAAGGCTGGAATGACGTCTTGCCCCGCGACATCTTCAGCAGAGACTGGCTCGAGGCGACGTACGACAAGAAACGTAGGTCGTCGTTTCCTCTCGCCCACCTTGGTTGCGACAGCATGCTGACAGGTGCTCCAGAAGAGAATGTTCGCGACATCGGAGCTGGGAACGACATTCCCATGACGACCGGACATTACCTGCGATCCATGAAACAGCTCACAAACCAGTGGACCCCCAGCAACTACCGCGATGAGCGCCGACAGCGACTGTATCTCAAGGACATCGACTGCCCCCCCGAGTGGCAAGAGCAACTGCAGAAGGTCATCCCGCCAAGCCTCTTTTACATGAATGAGAACATCACGGAGAGAGGAGGCGGAGGCACGCGCAACGACGGCATTTTGGGCGGCGCATCCGAGGCTACCGCGGCTTGCGCTGGAGACCTCATGTCCAGCCTCCCCGAGGAGATGAGGGCGCAGAACCTCATGTGCTACATCGGCCACGAGGGCACGTATACACCCGCCCACAGAGAAATGTGCGCGAGTCTGGGACAGAACATCATGGTGGAGGCTTCCAGCGACGAACACGGAGAAAAGCCAGGAAGCTCCGTCTGGTTCATGACCGAGACCAAGGACCGCGAGGTGGTCCGGGAGTACTTTCTCTCCATGCTGGGTCACGACGTGGAGATTGAGAAGCATTTTGCCCAGATCAATGCATGGAAGAAGGCCACCTTTCCGGTCTACATTGTTGACCAGAGACCAGGCGATTTCATCCTCATCCCGCCCCTCGCACCACACCAGGTCTGGAACCGTGGCACGCGCACGATGAAGGTCGCCTGGAACAGGACAACCGCCGAGACCCTCGACCTGGCCCTGCACGAGGCCCTGCCCAAGGCCCGGCTTGTCTGCCGCGACGAGCAGTACAAGAACAAGGCCATCATTTACTACACCCTCAAAAAGTATCATCAACAGCTGCAGGAGGCAGAGGAAAAGAACGAGATGAGCATGCTTGGCTTCGAAGGCTTCAGTCAGGAGCTGTTCCGTTCCTCGCCGCGCTTTCAGCAATTAACCCGCGACTTCCGACATCTTTTCGGCCTATTCACGGAGATCATGACGGACGAAATGTTTGCGACAAAGGAGACAGCCGTCGAATTTGTCGAGTTCGACTCATGCGTCATCTGCTCCTACTGCCGCTGCAACATCTTCAACCGCTTCCTCACCTGCAAGAGTTGCGTGAGGACCCTCGTCACGGGTGACGAGGATGCCTACGATGTCTGCATGGGATGCTATGCCATGGGACGATCCTGCATGTGCCAATCTGGTCTGACGTGGTGTGAGCAGTTTGACTGGAATGCTCTGGTGACTGACTACGAAACGTTTCGGACCGTGGTCATCAAGAACGACGGATTTGTCGACATGGAGCTGTCTCCGCAGCCTCTCGAGGTTGCAAGAACCCGCCAGGGCAAAAAGTCCACAGCGCAGATCTGCCAGGAAGCACTCAAGCGACGCCCTTTCAAGGACATTTCACAGCCCGAGGCAGAGATTGTACCGAGCGAGTCGGAACAGGAACCAGACCTCGACGACCAGGGCCGGCCAAAGAAGAAGAAGAAAAAGTACAAGCGAAAGGCCAAGAAGGGCGATCTCAAGCGATGCCATGTGTGCTGCCACAAGGATTACGCCTTCCGCGTCCACGACTGCAGCAATCCCCAGTGCAAGGAGAGCTACTGCTACGGCGTACTCTATCGTGCTTTCGACATGATGCCGCAAACAGTGCTGGAGAACGAGAATTGGCTGTGTCCCAAGTGTTTGGGCATCTGCAATTGCGGTGCGTGCCGGCGCGTCCAGCTCGGCGACCCGTACATGCCCAAGAACACTCTTCTCGGCCACGACACCAAGGCTGTCGCAGATGACCGAAGCATCGAACTGCTTGTCGACTTTAGGGTCCACAACTTGAACTGGCTCAAGGCCATGGGTGAAGATGGCCGCACGACTGACAGCAAGAGAATGAAGAACCTTCGCGAGCAAGCGGATACGGCCAAGGCCCAGGACAGCATTGGGCAGGCGGCCGAAGAAGCCATTGCAAATGCCACCACGACTTCCATGCCGCAGACTGGCCATGATCATCAGCTCATCAATGGCTACGGCGACCAGAGTCACGCTTTTGAAGGCCAGCAGTATATCGACCCGAACGTCCCAGATCCCAACGACGCGCATCATGAAGTTGACCCGCCAACCATTTTACTAGACCCTGATGAAACCATGATGACTGCTGACTTGGGCGATGATTCTGCCTACCCGGATCCCGTGATGCTCGGCGGACAGCGCATGCTCGGTATGGGTTACTACGACCAAGACAACGGACCTGACCAGATTCTTTTCGATCATTTCCAGATGCCCTCGGCCGATGCCTTGGTATTTGATGAAGACGCTGAAGTCGTGAAAAAGGCGCTTCGCGCTCAGAAGAGAAGGGCTAAGCAGCAGGACGAGGTTGACCCCGACTTTGCGGGGCCCAAATCTCACAAAAAAAGGAGAAAAGACAATAACGTTGAGATGTCTTCCATGGACCCTGCCCTTTTCGGCGCCGATGCCTCAGCTGCGGACACGACAATGCCGGAGGACGAGTCTGTCGAGCCCTCAGCTCAACTGACGCAGGAGGCCGAAGACCAGGCCGGAAGGCATAAGCAACCTGTTTTCCCAGCCAATGTGCCGTCTCTTCGCCATGCAAAGCCAATGGTATCGTACGCGGAGGCTGACGAGCCGTTGGTGGAAGACCCGGATGATGTGCTACCAGCATGGGAAACACACCCAGGTCCACGTAAGCCACGCGAGCACGTCGACCCGCCGGTGCTTGGCGCAGAACCAGATGATCCCTTGCTTGGGGCCTCGGGTGCCGTTCGCGAACTTCTCGGGCAGACTACGTCGGGCGGGCATGAAGCCATGGGGAATGACGGCGAGCCAAAACGTAGAGGTCCCGGACGGCGATCGGGGAAGCCCGATGCTGTGGAAGCTACAGGCAGCCCCGATCAGCCGGCTGGTCCCTCGGCAGCCGAGCTTGCTGCACGCAGACGCGCTGCGAGGGCGAACCGCAGATCTGGCGTGGAACTCGCTGAGGATGCTGAGATGCTGGACCTTGACGAGCTGCCCGCCACCAAGGCAGTGGACCTTGGTGACGATTCAGGAGCCGAGTCGGCACATGGTTCAGCGGAGAAAGAAGACGATGATGGTGACTTTGGCAAGCCGTCAGCAGCTCGCCAGGCCAGGAGCGGACCGAAGCCTGCGCCGAAGCCTGCACCGAAGCCTGCAGCTGCCGAACCAGGCGTAAAGCGTCCCCGTGGCCGGCCCCGTAAGATACAACCCCAGGAAACACCCCCTGCCAAAGCCTCAACACAGATGTCCATGGCGGAGCGGATGGCAGCCCGCGGAAAGAAGTTTAAGATCGGAAACCGCGGTGGTCTTCGCAACTCTAGGGGAGGCAAGATCGCCAGCAGGAGCTCGATCACGCCGCGCGCATCCATGCCGACGGACACGGCCCCGGGCGACGCAGGCGCGGCGCACAAGACTCCTGTGCCCTCCGACGACGTCTTCCCCGAGACGGACCTGGCGCCCCCCCTCGAGGCGAAGCCTGCGACGGACGGCCGGCGCCGGCAAAACGAAGACGAGGATGAAGACTTCCAGGTGGAATCACCGTCGCGCTCTCCGTCTGTCGAATCGCTTCCTGGACCGCGCGAGCCGGAGCCATCCCCGCCACCCCAGCTGCCGGTCAATTCGAAGCCGACAATCGTTCGCCTCGGCTCGCACTCGGACTCGGACTTTGAAGGTGGAGACAACGACGCGCCACGGCGTCTCAGCGGTTCGCTGCCAGCTTCAGAAAGTGACGATGACAGCAGCGACGGTGATATACCCAACGTGCCTGTCGTGCGGCCCATCCGCGGCCGGGGCGTCGTACGGGGCATGCGAGGCGTGGGCGGACGCGGTCGAGGTCGCGGGCGGCCCCGGGGACGGCCTCGAGGCAGCTAGGCAACTTTCGTTAAGGTCCCTAGTCTGGAAGCCCAGGACGCTGTGGCATTTAGGAGAGAAAAAAGCGAGCCACTTGAGGCTTGCAAGATGGCTGCGTGAGTTTTGGGGCAGCTTTAGTGGTCTCGAGAGCAAGGCCTGCCCAGCAGTTGCTCGTGTGCCGGACGTTCTACATTATGATACCCTCTTATTCTTTTCTCTTCAACCATGCTTCTTCTGTCTCTCCGTCGTGCCTCGCTCTGTGCTCACGGCCATGGGGTGTCAGACCGTCCTCGTCGTTCCGTCTCTTCGAGGCATCATATCCCGCCGTTCCGCCACGATCCAGCACATACGACCATACCTACTGGAAAGCTCGGGATCCCGTCCGCTCTCCCATCGATAAACCAGTAAGGGCTGAACTAGTAGTTGGGTGGGTGACCACCAGCGAATCCTCGGTGTTGTATGTTTTTTGGTATTCCTCATTTTTTTGAGGTTGGACACGAGTTGTGCAGTTGTGCGGTTGTCACTGGAGTGAAGCCGGCCTGTTATAACACCCCACTTTTGAAAGAGTCGAAAGTCTCTCATTAAGTTCGAGTGGATACAGTAGCTGTCAGTGGAAGGCCATGTCTTCGTCCTGCTGAGGTGCGTTCTGCGACTCCTTACACCGGCCTTGACGAGGACGACATGACTTCGACGGCGAATATGGAAACTTGGCAGCAGGAGGCAAAAAAACCGCCGTGCTTAACAGCTCGTACTCGGATTGAAATGTATCATATATGCTATGAAAATGATCATTGCGCCTGATGTAGGCGTTGTTTTTTCGTTGATTTGTCTCGCAGTACGTGCCCATGATTGCACATTTAATAACAAGCCGAGCATCTCCACGCCCTCTAAAACAAATGACAACCTTGGAGACTCAATAGTCTGTTCGTCAGACAGCATCAACCAAGCGGCTGCGGTTCTTCTCTCTTGTGACCGGGAAAACGTTTATGTGATATTCGTACTGGCAGGCACCATGGCCTGTTACGCTGGCGGTCATGGCGACCAATGAGAGAATGTCACAAGAGCCGCAAGACAAGCCTGTTGCCCACAGTATGTGTGATATCCAGGCCATCGTAAAACACGCCGTAATATCACAGCCACTCAACTCCTCAATGGACCTGTCGAGATATCACGCTGGCGAGCATCAGAAATTGAGCACTTGCTTCGCAGTCGTGCCGCAACTTCAATCCCCCACACCCATCAAGGGATACCTTGGAAGTCCGGATGATGCCTCCGCGACGAGTCCGACCACTTGACGAACATGGTTCGACAGGCAGCCAGAGAGAGCAGCCACTCCCACACCAGACTCATCTCAACCTCTCTAGCCTCCAGGCCATGCCCTGTAGTCACTGCCCTTGCCCATTTGGGAGGTTGCGAAGCGACGTCGGGTCGGTCTGACGCTATCCGCCATTGACGAAAAATCGCCAGTCGAGGGGGACAAAGGGGACCAAAATTCTCGCCCTACCACTTCGCGCATATCCTGACCCCATCAGCCTCCAAGAGCCGCGTCCACGTTCCAGGCCGCCACCGCCCTCCCTCGGCCAACCATCTTTCAGCACCACATGTTCCGGATCCGGCGCAACCAGCTCGCTCGGGGGGACCTGGGGCCTGACTTGAAAGACACCTTCCAAAGGGTCCCGACCACCTGGATTTCCCCTCTACCGCACGGGAAGCCCATGCCCCTTCCGCAGATGATCGACCAGCGGCGCTCGCCGCCTGGGGGGGCTGGATCCCCCTCTGAAAGACAAGCGTTTTTAGAGTTTTGCCGCCGCCCCCATCTTCAATCCTCCCCCAGGGCAGCTTTCACCCCACTCGATCATGTTTCTTTGTTCTGTTCCCGCTCGCCTTGTTCTCGAGGTCTTCGCTCCTTGCGCCGACCGAACAGCTGGGTCTAGAGGCTGCGCTGGACAAGGGAGAACCACGCGAGCCTGCTCAGGGCGGAAAGCCGCATCGAGCTGGTCGGGACGCGAGCTGTGGCCTGGGCCATGCGTCGGATGGCCGAGAAGCTTGGATCATGCGAGCCCTAGACGATCCGGGGAGGCCCAGATGGTGATATGGGGGAGGGGCAACGGCTCTGGCGTGCACAGTGAGCACAGTTGGCGCGGGGGGCTGGGGATGTATCTTTTTCTCGTCCCCATGGAACGGTGGTATTGCTCTTTGACAAGGCTGGGGATCGAAATAGTCGCGCCGACAGATGCGTGGACCTGGAGGTTGGGTGTTGACGGATGCGGGTTGGCAAAGGTAGGAATGATGATGCTGCTCATACATGTACTCAGTGTGTTCGTGGCAAACAAAGGTGGGAGGGAGGCTGGCAGATGTGGAATGCTGATTAGCTCAGCGTCGACGACATGGAAGGGATTGACTTTTTTTCGTCAAAACAATACTGGATACTATAATGATCAGTTTTATTGCATCTGTTTGCGTCTTTGCGATACGTTTGTGCTTGTTGGGCGTTTTGCTATGCCGGGGCATACGGCGCTGCGGGCTCCACAGCCGGGCCGTGGTCGGAGCGGAGGTCGGGGCTCCGCGATATAGAGTCACGGGGTTAGCGGCGAGGTGTGGTGTGCTCTGGAGCCATCAAGATACCCCTCCAAGGTGCCTCACGCTGGACTGCCACTCGGCATTATTGTGCTGAAGCCCGCGCCCTTGCTACCCTCATTGCGAATGGCTTGCTACCCTCATCGTGAATGGCTTCGAATGGCTTCGTTTTCTTTTTAAAGTGGAAAGGGGCTGCCGGCTGGCTGCTGCAAAGCGCCGCACATGATGCTGGCATGGAACTGGATTACCCCCATGGCCTTTGTTTGCGCTTCCAGACTGGAGATGGTGACATGGACGCCGCCATGGCGGTGATACTGTGCGGGCATGTACCAGGGCAAAGATGAAGATCGCCGTCTGCTGCACGACATCTATCGAGGAGGTCAACCAGGCGTCCTTAATAGGGGAGCCAGGACAAAAGGAGCCTCTGCCGCCGAACATGGCGCGAGCCCGCCCGCGGTACCTCTTCTCTCCGAGCGACGCAGCCCGCGTCAATCTTCCGATCTGGCCAAGTCTCAAATGACCGACGCGGGATAAATCGATCGACCCTGAATCTCTCACAGAGCGGTGAGGGAAACAGAACAAAAAAGAGGCTTCGCGATTCCCAAACGACAGAAGACTTCCTCCTCCTTGAGCCGAACACCACACGTGCTTCTTTTAGTCTGGTGGGCAATCTCCCCAATCTGCCCAATCCTTCCAGAAGCCCGCGCCGTCTCTCAATGCGAAACGAAGGCCGCCCCCCCTTTCTCAAGAAGAGAAGAAACGGGCACGAGAGGACCAACGCCCAATGTCCGCTTCGTATCGCCTCCCCCACATTCAAGGACGCACAGGGGTGGGTAGGGATTCTCCCGTCGCCAAGGGTCCCCCCCTGAACAGAGGCCCCGTACCGCACAGGACCAACAACCTACAGAGTCCCACCCTGGGCGTCGTCCACCGACACCTTCATTTCGGCACGGCGATCGGTTTTCGTTTGCGACTCCGGCCGAGAGACGAAGGGGGACCCTGCACGTTTGACGGGGATTTTTGTTGTCCCTGGCCATCTCTTCAAACATGTCCTGTCCGCCAGGACGCCAAGAGCAGGATGGATCGTCTGCAAGCGAAAGAGGCGTGCAGGCTGGCATGGCGTGGTTTGAGAAGCACAGGGTCGACAGGTCACTCATGATTGTTCCCCTAGTATCCGACCGGCCGGCCGACTCTCACCGAGAAGCGGATCTCATCTGGCGCGCCCCCCCTATTCAAGTCATTTTCTTTCTTTCTTTCCAAATTGGCATGACCGAAGGCGGCTGTTCTGCCATGTGGATAGGAAACACGGCTCACGGACGGGCACAACGCCATTGCACGTTATGCACAGACATTTGTGCCAATAAATCTCCGTTGGCGGCGTGTCGTGTGGATATGACAGGACCGGCGTCAATTTTTTTTTTCCCCTCTCTCTCTTGCTTTCCGTGCCTTGCCCTTCACGTAAGAGAAACGAGAGGGAGAAAGAGAGGGGAGGCAGAAAAATCAATCCCAAGACCGAACACGGGACGCCTTGGTCGTCGAGGGGGTCCTGCAACCGTCGGTCTGAACAGGTAATAATGAAAACGATATATGATCTCCCGCCTGAGCCCGGGCCGCTAGATGGCCATCGTGAGGTGCGCCGGCCGGCGTTATGTTAGGGGAGCCACTCTTCTTCTCTTGTCACTGAGCACAGTGGAAAGAGGACGGCCGATACGAAAGAGCAGCTGCTCCGTGACACCAAAAGCACCGACCCCGTACCACGGTCAACAAGCTTAATGCGAAGTGGGATCTCTGTGCCCGTGGCAGGCCTGCCAGGCATCGCGGCGCAAGGCACTGCAAGCACCCAGAAAGAGAGAGAGAGAGAGCGGCAAGATGAAAAGTACAGAGGCCTGTGCGGTGGACGCTGCTCTGCACTAGCCCGATGGACCAGCCCGGTAGCAGAGCCGATCAGGAACGATCGCAACATGAAGCAAAGTAACACACGCACAGCCAGCAGCAGCAGGAGCAGCAGCACCATGGTGACCATGACGATGCCGCATCTGACAGCACCATTTGCAAAAGAACTCGATATAACACACACACAAGCCTGCCTACTCATGATCTGTCTCATGTCCTTGAGGTTCCCGTTTCCCAGCCAAAATCTGCGAACCGGTTCAAAAAAGAGCCTCTCCCGGCCCTCCCTACATATGGCGTTGAGACAAGTAAACCCATCTTTCTGCGCGCGCCGCCCGCCTCCTCGCCCCGCGACGAGACAACGCTGGCACCCAGAAGAAGAAAAAAGAACAAGGCTGCTTCATATCTATGAATAAGGCCCCACCGTCAGCACCGGGAATGCTGTCAGGCAGACAATGTCCGCATGCACATGCACCCATCCAAACGTAGATGGACACAACACAATGGCCAGGGGGGGGGGGGGGGGGGCGATCGAGCACCAAACCAACACCTGTCTCTGTCGCCTGGGGAAACGAGACGACAGCCACCGATAGTTGAAATGAAGACAAGACGGGCGCTGCGCATTTCAGTCATCTGGCGTGCCGAGCCCGTCACCACACACCCTGGGCACTCCATCGGCAATGTCACCTCGCAGGCGACAGACAGACAGGCAGACAGACAGACAGACGTGCCGCGTGCCGCGTGCGGCAGGCAGGCAGCGCGCAGTCAGTGCACACATCTCACCGTGCGGTACCTCGTCCGGCCTGGCCCTCCCCCCAGGTTGGGGTAAGGGAAGCTCGGTGTTCCCCAGCCAGGAGCCATGTTCCTGCATCGTGCAGCCTCCAGAATGACATGCTGCATCGTGTATTGGGGTCCAAATCGAAAACCCGTGAAGCAGGTTATGCCAGTGTAACGTCAGAACCGCAGGCGGCCCGTCTTGCGTGCCAAACGCTTCCCATGACACCCGTGGCGTTCGCCTGCCTGAGACATCACTTCACATGGAACGAGACAAGAGGCAAGACACGATCAAAGATGAAAAGCGCCAATGTGTAGGAAAAAGAACGTGATTGGTATCATTGTGAGCAGCTGTCTTTCGTCCCCTCGACCTAATGCCCTGGCTTGGCTTGTTGCCAGGAGACCCGTCTCCGGGGCAGTCTGACCGCCCCGGTTGCATCTGCATTTCACCGCCCGTCCGAATCAACGGCGCTGGTGTCCCAAGACAATGGGAAAAGAACAAAGGATTGTAAGTATGTGTATCCGCAAGCGCCGTCGCCCCCAGTGATGGGCCCATCACCCTGCCTGTCTGCCCTGTACCGCGGGACCAGACTGTGAAACGCCGGTAAATCAGTCTCCCACCCCCCTGCCCTGTCCCCAACAGAGAACGCCGCGCCAAAGATTCGTGACCAAATGCAAATATCCGATTAAGTATGTGGTAGTGGTGATGCTTGTTTGTGTTTTCCTTTTTTTTTTCTGCGTGTCGCCGTCAAGACCCTTGTCGAGGCGACGATCATGCCTTGATGCTCTTCCTCCTGTGGAAGCTGCTCAGTATCCTGTTCTTGCCTGTTGACGAGACGGGGGAAGAAGCAGCAGGAGAGACTGGTGACATGAGCGCCGAGTCGCGAGTATTCCTCTTGGCGGCCTTCATAATGTCGTTGTAACTGATGGGACCGGTGGCGGCGGGTGATGCCTGCTCCTTGGTCTCAAGGGGGAGAGATGCAGTCGAGGCCGAGTTGAATTGATCCTTGAGAGCGGGCTTGCTTCGCTTGCGCACAATGCTGAGTCCCCTCTTGAGGATGGCTGTTGGTGTGCGAGGCGTCACTGGCTGCTCCGACTCACGCTCCTCGTCCAGCGTCTGCTCGTACGTCTTGCCAGCGTATGGGTCAATGCTGAGGAAGGCAGGCTTCTGCTTCGCCATGGCGCCGACGAACATGCTGCTTGACCTGGGCGGGTGGGTCGGGTTGAAGGAGACGCCGGTGGAGGAGGAGGAGATGGAAAGGCGGCGCAGCGAAGGCTCGGTGACCGACGTGCCCAGGCTGCTCTGGGGCCTGTCTTGGGATGAAGTGGGTGAGGCAGAGCGGCGAGTAGCAGGGAGGTCGATGATCGAGGGCTTGCCGATGAAGACAACCGACACGACCTTGGCCGTGTCCTCGTGGCTCTTTCTCCTCACGGGAGAGCCAGTCGACTCCTCGCTCTCGGATTCAAAGTCGTAGTCGGAGAACTCGTCAAACTCGTCGGCAGAAGAGGAGGCGTCCTCTTCGGACGAGAGATAGACGTCTTGCGGTGTGGCACGAGACAGTGTCGTGGTCTGTTCCTCGGCGGCAAGCTTCATGGTGAAGGCATTCAGGAGTCGAGATGATCGCAGATTGCTTCTCGGAGGGAGGGCGGGTGCGTCTCCAGACTTGAGGCACGCCTCGGTCTTGACAGACTCGGTGGCCATGATGTCGTCGGCGTCGTAGTATTCGTCGAGCATGTTGTCTTGGTACTTGATATCGTTATCGTGGGTGGCAGAGGATGAGGAGACGTCGGACGGGGCAGACGACTCGTTATTTGAGGGCTGTTTGTCCTGGGTGTGGAGCTCGTCCTGGACGCGGGTTGCGGCGTGGGTTATGGAATGCGTGGACTCCCTAGAAGGGATGGTGTGGTCGACCAGAGACATTGTGTCCCTCAGCCAGGAGACAGCAGAAAAAAAGCGGTAGAGGTTGCTAGAGTGTATCCTGAGACGGCAGGTCTCACTTGAAGTATGAGGTCACGGCAAGGAAACGGGCTGATCGACAGCCAACTGGTGGGATGTTGGAAGAGGTGGTACCAGCCGAGACGTGGAATGGAAAGGAGGATAGTATCGTGAAAGATGGAATGGTTGCGGGTGGAGGAGGAGGAGGAATAGTAGTAGTCGAAGAGGGGGTCGGTGGACAGATGAATATTTTATTCTGGCTGGGACTTGGTTATGAACATGGGAACTGGGGTAGGAGGCATGGGAGGTGCAGCCCCCCATGGTTATGTACGGGTTGGCGACATTCTGGCATCTGGGCTGGGCAAGCGTGGCCCGTCATGGTGGTGGGCAAGGGCTGTTCATAGCGGTGGGCAAGGGCCGTTCATTGCCTTTGGGGGTAGAGGATGATGGACGATGTGCCAAGTGCATGGATGCATGCATCATGGAGGGGGGGGGGCCCCGGCAGAGCGTCTGCACAAACGAGTGGGCCCACCATGGAGGGGTCCAGGAGGTACCTCGCGCACAGTGTCCCTGTCGGCGTTCGTACGGCACAGGCCAGGGGGGCTGGTCCTTCTCTGTGGTTCGCGCTATCCACGAAACTAACCCTCACAGCCTTGGCTGGCTCTGCCGCCGCCACCCAGAGCTACTGTGCTGTTCCTACCTTACCTACCACCTTACCTTACAGTAAGTGCTGCCGCCCCTTCCATCCTGTCAGGTGTCCTGCCCTGACGTGCCCTGTCCTCCTGTTCTCTGCCCTGCAGCTCGATAGTGGGAGAAGAGAGGGGTGGGCAGAGAGCGATAGTGTTCCTCTGTTTCATCTAAGAAACATGCAATTCTCACCCTAGTACTACGATTGAATAGAGTGGAATGGATAAAGGGAGCTCCTTGCGCGTTGCGGCGCGTCGGCGCTCCCTCGATCACGTCGAAGATTGAATGTTCGTCAAATAGATTGGACGCGCTGTGGGGTGGGCAGTCGGCATGAGCGTGTTCGGCGAACAAAGAGATAAGTCATGGCGAGATGGAGAGATGGGGATGAGCACCAGCCCAGATGGTCATGGCGGCCTGCTCACGGCCGCCACTACTGGTGCTGTCAAACGAGATCTGAGGGAAGTGTCCCCAGAGAGCAGAAGGGAGAACACCGTCCATGCTCCCGGTGTTCACCGGCGCATGCACACCCATCAGTCGCTCCTCATGACCAGCAGATTCCTTCCACATGCTCGCTTCACTTCTTACTTGTTCGAAGAGCCGCGAAAACGACCATCATCATGACCGACATACAACAAGATGGCTTGGGGGGGGGGGGGGGGGGGGGATGGATGATCATCCCCAAGCCACAGCCCGATCATCAGACGACCAGAAACAGTTAGCGCAGGGGAAGCCATTGGTTCGCTGCCCTCGTCGGAGCTGCTGGTCGGCCTCTTGCGGCAGTAGCAGGCGCTGTTGCTGCTGCTGCTGCACCTGCTTCACTGCACTGCACTGCACTCGCCCTTCACAATCTAGAAGCAGCCCAATTTGTCTCGTTTCCCAGCGCGACATCGTGACCCGCTCGAGTCAAGTCCCCTCCAAAGTTTGCCCACAGACCCAACGCCGCGAGATCCGCATCATCATTTCCAGGGAGATTTCACACGCCATGATCAGACTTGGATCCCAATTTGAGTCGCAAACCCGTGGCCTGCCCACGTCCGTCCGCCGCCGCCGATGCTCGCCGGCTACTGTACGTGGGTGGGCGTGTGCCAGTGAGGTGAGATCCGCCTAATTTCGGCGGCCAACGGATCCCTTCATCGCCCGTTCACCCTCAACTGATAGAGCTCACTCATCTTACCACTTGCCGGCGAAGAGATCTTCTGGTCACGAACACCCCATCGCATTGCGATCAGCGGAGCTTCCCCTGGTCTCCTCCGGGACTTGACAGTCCCCTTCAACATTGGCACACACGCCCCTTGCTACTGTGTGGTGCCCGGAGTATCGAGTAGATGCGCATCATGCCATGTTTCCCTCCAAAATGTCCTGCAGCTAGTAGTCGGCTTGCCTCCCCCATGTCTGCTGAGAAAGTCGTGGGTTGGCGGGTCGTGGGACATGGGCTATGGGCCTCGAGCTATGGCACGGGCACAACGCGATCCGGAAATCGAGGGCCCACGGATAGAAGTCTTCTGAAGCACGAGACGCATCGTGGTGCTGGCGTCCCCTTGATTTCGAGTGTCTGTGCCGCGTGGTACCTGCCTGCACCGTGCATCGCTCGCGACTCCTTTGGAAAGGCGAGAAGAGGAAGGGGGAGCTCCTGTGCGCTCTCACTGGTGCACCGAGGCCACGGAGCGACGACATCGTCGCCTCGAGGCGCTCTCTGCCCACCACACCATCTCGTCGGCCGAGTTTCGGTGCTGCACGAATCACAGCTCAATCCAGGCATGCCGATGCGCTCTCTCGCCCGCCCATCTCCCCGCTGACCGCCAGTCGAGCCCATATTTTTCTCTTGGGTCACCACCCTGCGGCAACGAGGAGGTCGAGGTTGCTGGCTCTCGAAGCTCTTTGGCTCCCCTTTTCCCGTCACTTTGTCGTTCGACACAGGGAAGATAGGGAAAAAAGAAAACGAAGACCTGTCAGAATAGGCTCACAGCTGGGCCCTTCCCCCCATGGACCTGACCGATCCCTCCTGGCATCCCGGTGCAAAGAGCACCCCCACCTTTACCCTCGAGTTTCGCCTTCAGGCCCGTCAACAGCAAGCGCCGGGGTGCGCAGGTCATCCTCACTGACATGAAACAGCGTCGCCTCGGGGGGCCCCCAGCAGACACTTCTTGGCCCTGACCGACCACACCTTGACGTTCGTCTGATGTTCTCTGACGGACGCTGTACGATGTGGGCGAGGCCACGGGCCCTGACGGGTGCCCTGGGTAAGCTTGACAAAACACTCTTGAGATCAGGGCCGATGTGCACGGCATGAATGTTTGGTTTCGGCGAGACGGGACGAAAAAGGCGCGTTGGCCACGGCATGACGGCGGGCATGAAGAATAGGGTCCTGGGGGCGCGCCCTGAGTAGATGGGCCTTCTGTGCCCCTCGTACCGATGCTCAGCAATGGAAGCGCTGGCTGTTCTTGTCGAAACACCCGCAGAGCACCATGGGCGATCCTGGTCGCGCGCGCACCGTGCTGGGGTTCCAGTCCGCCCCCTATCGGCCGCCGCTTGCTGACCCTGGCACAGTGCATCGGGTCCGACCAGGCCCGACTCTTTGCAGCATGCAGGCTCAGGGTCGAGGATAGCCTCACCTGCATCTGCAGGCCCCTCTCATCAGAGCAGAGCGAGGGAGCGATGAAAAATTCCTATCGACGATTTCTCAACTTTTCTTTCCTTTGTAGTCAGACCTACGATACTTTCCTTGCACTGCGGGGGCGCCACTTTGGGGCACTGGCGCCCGACGGTGGCAGAAGCACGAGGTTCAGGAATGCTCCATAGGAAAAGTTGCTACGCATGCATGGCGTTGCATCGCCAGATCATGGTTCAAGTCTTTTTGCTCGGACAGGTTGGCAGTGGGCCCCGTGCCATTCTGTCGACTTGCGCTTGCCCGCCTCATCTGCCTCTCTGTGCCCACCACGGTGCAGCAGTGGGTGGAGAGGGCTCGCTCACGTCATGACAGGAGCTGGCTGCAGCTGCTGGACTTCGACGAGCACAGGCCATCCATCGTCGAGCTCACCTCACCCACTTCTGGTCGCGCCAGCCACTCTTCGCACACCTTCTCCAGCCTCTTCCAGGCGCGCCCACTCTTCGCACACCTTCTCCAGCCTCTTCCAGGCGTCGCGCCCACTGTCCGGCTGTCCAGTCCTCCAGCTGTACTGTACAGCTCTCCAGCTTTCCAGCCGTTCAGCCACCAGCCACACGTCGGGGCCGACACGAGCGCGGCGGGCCACTACTGCGATCCCCCTAGTCCTGACCCGGCTTAGGTGTCGTTCGGGTTTGGCCGTTGGGATTTCTAAAAATGGGTTCTATACCCTCTTTCACGAGAACAAAGGCACGAAGAACTTTGGCGAGTCAATACTCGAGCGCTTTGTTCGGACTTGACCTTGACTGCGGTGCGTCCGCCTATCCGATCACGAGCACTTCGCTGTGGCCGCCGCTGACCGCTCTGCCCACCCTGCCTGGCTCCGGCTCGTGGGTCGGCAGCGGTACAAGGTCGCCGAAACGTCTACACTGTACCGCCAGAGCGAGAATGAGACTCTGTGTGTTTGTGTGTTTGTGGGTGTGTGTGTGTGTGTGTGTGTGTGTGTGTCCACACATCGTCACGTCAGGGTGTTGAAGAATTCATCGCATTCCAGAGAGGTCATCCTCCGCCAAACGACCCTGCCGCCACTCTCCATGCGCCCATCGTTGTCGCAGGTCCCCATAGTGGCAAGCACGAGCTTCAGGCCCCCGCCCTATGATCCATTGATGTACCATCTAGTTATCCCTGCCATCGTCACCACGCTCACGAGTATCACCGTTTCAGAATGTCGCGAGATCTCCTCTGCCGTCACTGATGTGCATGCCTATCCGCTTGATCGACACCGGGCTCCTCGCCGCCGCGGTTGCGCAGGGTTCTGGTCGGAAACACAACTGTTGCGCGATCGTCTGATCCCACCTGTGCGGTGTGGCCCCCGCAGAGAATGGAGAGGGCATCATCATTCGCATCAGAAGGGCGAAGGAGGGGGGAGGGGGAGGGGGAGGGGGAGGGGGAAGGTATCATCGGACTCCTTCTCATTCTCCGCCGGCGCATCGCTCACCCGTTCACCCCATCATCTTAGCTGCCGCCTGCTATCGGCCGATGCAGTGCGCTTTGTGTTTTTTGGACGTTGGACGTTGGAGGCCCCTTTCTGTCGTTCTGTGCGTTGCAGGCGCGACGGTGGGAGGTGGGCGGCCGCGAATTGAGCGGCCTGTCGGGCGCATAGGTGATACTCGGCGTACCTATGTGTATGTGTGTGGCAACCTTTTTCAGGTATGACTGCTCACTGACATTTTCAGGAGCTTTCAGCCCGCCCCCAACCACACCTCCTACTTCTCATAGACCCCAAATTGAAGTTGTCGCAAGTGTGCCACATTGTAGCCCGAGAATAAGCAGAAGCCCGCCCCCATGATACCGTCGCGCTGGGTAAGTAGGTCGTCATGTTCCCGGAGTCGGGCGCAGCGTGCTGACTATTTGCGCGAGTAGCCCCCGACGTCCGCCGCTCGCACAGCCGCACGCAGCTGACAGGGCGGAGCCGCGCCTCGGACATCCCACACTGGCTGATCCTCTGAGGATGAGAGGATTGGATCCTTTGACTTCCTACTAGGACTCGTAGCGCAATTGCCATTGCTTAGTGAGCGTCCTGCCAATTGCAGCGGTTTTGTTCCTGGTGGTCTCTTTTTGGGGGGGAGCCTTCGAGCTAGCTTGTGCTTACACTGAACTTGGGGTCCCTCTTGGCTGTCAAGTCGCACTACATCTGCTAGGGCTGGATACGCTGCGGTCGCCCTCGTGATGCTTCTCCGTCTTGAGACGCTGACTGGATCGAATCCGCCCGATGTGCCTGTCTGCTGGATGGTGGTGCCGCGGGGAGCGATCCTGTTGGTATTTGCATCTACATCGCGATTGGGCCCCCAAAGGCAGTGTCGTATAGGTCTCACAGCGATTTCGCTCGAGTGCACCCTCTACTGTCTGTGCTCGGCAGAGGCTCGAGGATGATTCCGTTACACCTTAAGGCTGCACCTGCCAGCATCGAGCACGACATGGAGGTTTCGCTCGGGGGGCGGGAGGAAGGCGCCCCCAGTCTTGATTGCCCGGGAAAAGGACAAGTTTCACGACTCGTTCGTCTATTTCTGGTAGGTATACTTGCTACAGTCTGAGTGCTTATGCCGCATCTCGCTCGCCCCCGACAGTGGGAACACAGTACGATCGGTACATCCACGGGGGCAAGATGTATAGCCCAGGGTCTCTCGTCAGACCGCTGCCCTCGCGTTGGCCAGCTCCATTTCTTGGGTGGTATCTACGATGTAGGAGCAATAACGCCTCTCATGGGCATACACGGCGGCCTCTGTCATGCAGCAGAGTGAGATCGGACGAATCTGGTCCAGGTCAGCTATTCGGGTGCTCCTCGAATCATGAATCTCGACAAGCTGCTGAGCCTGGCACAATGCTGACCGTCACAGGAAGGTATCGATAGCGTGCATATCAGATGAAGAGACCAACCTGCCCTAGCATGAGTCGGAAACCCCCCCGCCAACCCGAGCTGTGTATGTTGACAGTGCAGGTCGGCCTATCCGAAACTCTACCCCGCGCACCTCTGGCCATATGAAGACGCTCGGGCAGCTGTTTGACATTGAACTGCGGTGCATTGACGGCGGGATTGGCCGAGCCCGACACCTTGACAGGATCGCCCGGCAAACACACCTCTGACTCGGGGGGAGTTTTGTCACGAGTGCTGTGGAGGCCCAATCGCAATGCCTTGCACACCATCCTCCCGGTGGTTGCCTACCGCAGGTGTGTAATGCCGTGTTCTTTGGGGCCGGAGCTCCGTACCCAAGGCACCAAGGGAACGCTGAGAGGCTCGGCCCCGCCCGCCAAACAGGCCCCACCCGGACCCGGGCGTGAAGACGCCGATGGAGGGCGTGTCTGGCTATGACATCACAGGACCCTGACGTGGCTGACGAAGGAAAACCCACCCCCACAAACATGGTTGCTTGCTGCCCACAAACTGGCAGCGTTCACTCCGGTGCTTCCTTGCCTCGAAAACCTGTACTGGCTTGCTTTGGGGGAGAGGGAAACCCTGTCCCAATTGCAAAGGTTTTATTCAGCGGAGCATGTCCAGCAGGGACGCGCTGCAGTCACGCCATCAAGACGTCAAGACGTCAAGCCGTCAAGCCACCGGTGAGGCGCCCATCTGCCAAATGCTGCATGTTCCAGGCTTCTCCCCCCACCCTTGCCCAGTTTCTTGCCGAAAGGTGCGCATACGCGATGCTGGCCATGATGGTGGGTTATGTCGTCGATAAGCGGGGGGACCGGAGGAGGGTGAGGGATATGCCGGCCGTGCAAGCCGTGCTTGGGGTTGCGTCGCCTGCATCGTGACGTCGTGCGGGTGGTCAGCCTGCCTCTGGACTGCCCCGTCGCGAAATCCATACTCTTGGGACAATGGACACGACCTCATCTCGTCGTTGGGTCTGTGCCTACAGTCGACAAAGGGCATACTGTATACAGCGAAATGGCAATACTAGTTCAGTGAGGCGAATCTCTGTCCATTGCCTTCCTGCGAAGCGAATGACAACACGATCTCGCGGCCGCCATGCTCTGTCAATCAAGGGAAGGGCAACGAAGGGCCCCGTCAACGGCGTGGGCCGGACGAACCGCGTGGTCGTAACCTGCAGGGTCCCGACCGGGATGCCGCTCCGCAAAGGAACCGGCTTTTCGTGCGTCACGCACCCACCCATCCTTCCTCTGGAGGCATGAAGTCACACAGTATGCTCGTCAAAGACCATGTACCGCCATATGCCTTCGCGCGCGAGCGCCACATGCACGCAAGAAGAAGCCAGCAGAAAAATCTTGGGCCCCTTGGCGAACGCGGCCTTGTACTGCCTTGATGGATGATGATGCATGTGATGGGGACGAGACCTTTTTTTCGTTTTCTTTGTCCCCTCATGGAGTCATTGGAAGGGTGTGTGGCGGGTTGTTGGCGGAGGAAGAAGAGGAGTGCTTCCTTCGTGCTGGTCTGGCGAATGAGAGGCAGGGTGCGAGTGCACATGGGAGACGATGGAGTTTGGGATGGCCTCGAAGGACTTGGAGATCGTCGACTTGACTACGCCAGGAACACGACTAGAGTCGGACCTGACGTGTTGATCGATTTGCCACGAGGGGGGGGGGGGGGGCACTACCGAAAGACAAGACTGTGCTTCATCCAACGCCTCTGGGGATTCTAAACATAGAGGATCTTCAGCTCTTCGCCTTCGTCCTTTGATTCCTTCTGGGGGCGAAGGATGACCATTTGTTGTTGATCAGCTTGAATCGTCGCGCTGCCTGTCTTTCAGATCGCTCTGGCCTAGCTTTTCATGTTGCTAGCCTCGACTGACGACCACAGCTGGATGACCAGCCCGTCCAATATCAACGCCAGGTCCTGACAGGTTTTCATGGTGTACAGAGAAAGCATCAGGTTGCCGTCTTGGTCCGCGGCCTGTCAGACACGACACAATCCCAGTTGGCCGTATTCCTGCTCGCCTATAAACAACAGCAGCTGCACGACAATGCTTCACAGGACTCTAAACTCAAGGCCGAGGTCCCTCAGATGCTTTGTCCTTATGCCGAATCTGCCATTGGCGTTGTGTGAAAAATTTCAATCGTTGACGAGGACGCATCAAACACAAATCGCCAATTTCGCGATGGCCAGAGGCCATATCACGGTCCTCCTGTATATCCCGTTCTTTCGCACTCTAAGAGGAGAAAAGTCTTCCTGCTTAAAGCCACGAGTTGAAGAATACGCATGTTTTTAAACGAAGTCGGATGAGATAGACGATGCAAACGCCGATTGACCTAAGGCCTTACTCCAGAGTTCGGAGAAAGGCACATCAACATTGGTTCCAGATCAAAAGCATGGTTGACGCATGCACCATAAGAAGAAGACGGTATTCTCAGCCCCGGACAAGGAAACAGTCGCGAGGGCGATGGCGCAAAAGCCGTTGATGTGGCAGGAGGTCCAATAACCCATGGGAGATCCATTGTCCCATGGTCTAGTGCTGATATGACCCTCACCGTGACACCGCATCCAATACTGTCATGAAAGCCCGCCCTCAGCAAGAACAACAGAATGCGATAGAGGGAGAGCTTCAGCCGCGTCACTCGCGCGCTACAGGCAGGCGACCGCTCATCACAGGCTGCACCATCGATCCTCGATCCAAGCTGGACGACTCATAGTTCGTTGAATCACCTGTCATAACGCTGCTCCAACGT